AGTGCCCTAGTTTTATATGCATAGTAAATGCAAATTTGTTTCAATGTTTTGATGGGAAAACATGAATCCTGATTCCATGTTCAAAATCAGTCTTAAAAGTAAAGTTGGGGATTATTCTCAAGCAAACAAACCTGAGAGAAGAGACAAAGGGAAATGCTAAAATTGAAAGTGAGTGCCAGGATACTTTATCTTATACTATTCAAATAATAACTTTTTAATAATTTTTATTTTTGACTATACTGGGTCTTCATTGCTGTGCAGACTTTTCTCTAGTTGCAGAAGAGTGGGGACTGCTCTCTAGTTGAGGTGCATAGACTTACCGCTGTGGCTTCTTCTGTCGCAGAGCACGGGCTCTAGGATGTCTGGACTTCAGTAGTTGTGGCTTCTAGGCTCTGGAGCACAGGCTTAGTAATTGTGCACAGGCTTAGTAGCACCATGGGATGTGGGATCCTCGCGGATCAGGGGTCAAACCCCTGTCTCCTGTATTAGCAGGTGGACTCTCCACCACTGAGCCACCAAAGAAGCCCTCAAATAATAATTCTGAATAAAATTCCTTTGGAGCTATCAGATTAACTTTGAAGTAATTTTTTCCATATTCACTTTTATCCTCTTATTGCAGAAAACCCTTTTTTTGTTCTCTTCTGTGCCTTCATGTATTTTATGTTATAAATAGTAGTAGGTATTATTCCAGCAGCCTATCTCCTAAATACAGCTTCCTATCATCAGATCAAGGTGAACGCTTTTTTCTTATTCCTCTGAGGAGGAAGTTAATGAATGTTGACTTACCTACATGTTGTCATCTTTTTCTTGGTAGTCTGTCTTTAAATCACATATTACCTAAGTTATATTCAGCAGTCTAATCCAATCCTCCCATCTTTCTTGCCACTCGTGGATGTGAATGAATCTTAACAGTGGGAAGCTCTTTTTTTCCCACTGAGTATACCTGTAAAACGCTTCTTCTTACCCAGCAGTGAATGTTAAATTTGAATCCTGTGTTACAGAGTTCGAAGAAGTACCATTCTCATAATACTGGCTTTGGGGGGTATACAAAAATATCAAGGAACTAGAAACTAGGCTAGGGACACAGATCAGATGACACTTTAGGAGTATTTTGAACAAAGTTGCTCCTGCTGCTGCTAAGTCGCTTTAGTCGTGTCCGACTCTGTGCAACCCCATAGACAGCAGCCCACCAGGCTCCCCCATCCCTGGGATTCTCCAGGCAAGAACACTGGAGTGGACTGCCATTTCCTGTTCCAATGCGTAAAAGTGAAGTTAGGGCCTTTTAAAATCTCTTACTTGATGTAAGTGCTTTTCTGATTATCCTTTTTTTGTGATGCTTGTGATACAGAAGCCACTAACCCTCATTGTTCTGTACCCTGCTTTACTGGTGATGAGTTCAAGAAGGAATAGTATTTAGTTCAGAACTTTTGTGAATTCATTCTCACATGCCTCCCTCCTCAATGTGGGCTCTCACCAGAGAGGATTAGAGTGCAAGTCTCACACACATGAATCTTTTTTTTTTTTCTTTTTAATCTTATTTTGCTTTGAAGACTAAAGACAAAAACCAGAATCTGTAGGAAATATACCATTGAGCCATCTTTCAGGGAGGCGGAACAGATTTTATACTATATACAATTAAATAATACGTTAAAAATGGTAATTGGCAGAAAGGGTACAGCGTCTATTTCATTTCCTATCCCAGTCTCTGTGAAACTGTTGTCATGGTAATGGTCTGCTTAGGTATTATATGAGTTAACTGGCTTACTACAACTCTAGTGAGCCAGCTAACTCATAGAAGTTGAGGGCATTTCAGATTTTGCAGTTTAAAATATACAAAAGAATCTAAACATAAAGAGTTGTTTTGGAAAAAGTGATGTGTTTTTTAAGTTTTAAACACTGGACTCTATTGAATGCTTAGAGAGCTTTGAATGGCTGTTGATGAAGAATCTCCCAAACAGGAAGTTTCCAAAAACTCCTCTGCTAGGTGTTAATTTGCCACTGCAGTATCTATATCATCATTTCCTGAAATCATGAGAGCTGCCAGCACCCCTTGTGGAAAGCTCTGGAAAACCTTTGTTTTCAGAGTTTTTCTGTATTTCCGTCTGTGAAAATAGAATCCATGTAATCTTAGCAATTGGTCTGTAAACACTGTGCCCTTTCATTTTAAGTGAGACAATTTCTCTGTATCTGAGTTTGATGTGTTTTTCAAGAGCAAAAGCAGAAAATTAATTTCTTAAGTAATGAAGACCTAACATTAGCATAAGTACTCTTTTTAATTCTAAATAAGACATGGAAAACAAAATATGGCTCCTTGTTAAGTGGGCAAGTCTGTATCTGAGGGGAAAACACAGATAACAGTGTGTTCTCTGCTCCACTGTGGCAAGAAGTATGCCGCTGTGGGGCCTGTCATACTGCTTTGTGATTTTCACTTGAGACTTGCGTGGTCCCAGAAGACTAGCGAAGCCTGCCTTCACTTGTGTGCATATGATGGTGCTGGCAGCAAGACACACAAGTGCCACTGCCTGCGGAGTAGTGAGATAGTCCGGGACATGAGGAAGGGACAACAGAAGAGCAAAACCTGTGACCACTTTATTACCAAGTCAGATCTCTCATTGTGTGGCATTGTTTTTTCCTAATCTGTTTTAGGCCAAAATAGACTGAGAAAGTAATAAACCTTTGTTTCTGTACCACCCACCCGCCCATATCCCACACAGCAGTGCCTAAGGTGTCCTTTATGTTCTCCTGTAGTAAGCACTCACTTTTTCTGTATCTAGCAATACCTAGCCCTTCATGTCATTGTGTGAAGAAAATGAGGCAGCATGGTACCAACGACCACCTGTACTAGGGAAGATGTAATAAAACCAGTATTAAGAGAAAATAATCTAGAAAAGTATAGATGAGTGAAATGTACTAGGAATAGTCAGAGTTTCTTAAAAGCTAAGGCTTGTGTAGGTTGAGCATTTTAAACTTGTGAATTATTTTTTAAATCTGGAATCAGCTGTAGATCACCTTGATTTAGTGACTACAAATGAGAATCCCATCTTAACCTAGCTGAGATAAGACAAATGAACACATCCTAATTTAGGAATGACCACCCCAGAAATAAAATTATTAGACCTTTTTCTAGAAAGGTATCACAAGCAAAATAGTATGTTTAAAAGACTCCCTATAGTGACTGTTGTATCCCTTTCTTATTAATAGGTACAGTGCCGAAGAGAAACTAATTGAAGGAAATAGTCATTCTTTTCATCTCTTACCTGTTGGATTTTGCCATTTAAGAATACTGAAAATGAGGCTGACTTTAAGAGATTCTTGACTGACAAACTGTTTAGATACTGGTCTTTAAAAGTTAGTAAAGAATTCAAAAGTCTTTAGGCCCGCCACTGCTGCCATCTCAGCCACCTGGGTGGTGGTGGACGCCGCAGCTAGCAGCCTTGAAATCTACTACAGATGAGCAGCAGTTGCTAGGCTTATGTCATCTTCACCCCCGGAGGGGCAAGAACTGTTACTAATAGTCAGAAGTGAACTTCCAAAAATAAAAAAAACAAGAAAATTGGCTGTGTGTGTGTGTGTGTGTGTATTTTTTTTTTAACCTTCAACTGTGTCAGCAATAAGGCTTTTTATTTGTAATTGATCCTAGCTTGTCAGTATTCAATATTGAAAGAACAGGGTGACACCTGGTCTATTTATCTTCATAATGATCCTCAGGCATTCAGATGATAATGGAGATAAATATGAAGAAAGGTGGATAAACCTCAGTGCAGATGCTAGCCAACTTAAAGAGAATACAATTATTGAAAAAGGATATCAGAAGATTAACATTATTTCCTGGTTAATGATTGGACCTCAACATCTGGAGAAAATTACCAAACCTGTCAAAGCTACATGAGTCCAGCATTGTAATAAAAGGTTGTAAAGACTTCCGAATTGTGTGATTAGAAGTCACTAAAGGCATCCCAGCCCTGCAGGAAGCAGTTAAAGCTTCTCAGTTTGTTCATGACTGTTATTTAGAAGATGCTGATTGCTTCTTTAAAGTAGATTATGATGTACCTGTCTTCCTAGACACTTGAGATGGCGTCTTTCAAACTGTGATCCTAAAGAACCCATGTACTTTAGGAGAAGATACGTACAAAGAGGCTTTGAGGAGATTTGGTACTGGACCCTTGGTACTGGAATTATAACTGTTATTATCCTGCAGTGGGTCCTGGTTACTGTTCTTCTTGCAGTTTTTTTGTATTCTCTTCATTCATATGGTTATTTGTTATGGTTATTTGTATACTAACTTGCCTTGAGAAACCAGTAAGACAGATAAATGAAATAATCAAGAACGAAGATCCAGAGATAAAATGTCTTAACGTTGAACTGAAGAAAGAACTGCATCTACAATATACAATGCTCTAATCTCACTGACTGATTCTTTGTATATGAACATTCCATACTTAAAAATCTTTCATATGAATGACTGCAAACTGAAGCTTTAACATGAGCTTTAATTCTCTTAAAATAAATTCATACAGTAATGTAAGTAAAGGATTTAATTTTTTAAATGGTAGTTAGAAAAACTAAAGAGATTCCTTGTTCCTGACCACTTGTATTGATGTCTCCAAATAAACAGAACATCTAGCCTTGCTAGAACTATACTGCATTGTTAGTACACACATGTAATACTAAACTCATCTGCCTAAAATAGCTTGGGAGGAAATATTGTTGGTCATCGTTTTTAACTCAAAATATGGGTTTGTATCAACAGTTTTAACAATAAACCCATTTTCCCCTGAGATACACAAAATGTTGTTTTGTCCTATGAAAATTTTGCTGTAACTATTTATGATAAACAGCATTCACTTCCAGAAAAAAGTAGAATTAGAGGTGACATTTACTTAAAGTACACTGATAAAAGCACACTTTGAAATTAGCATGAATCTTGACTGTGACTTTTTTTCGGTTTTGCTTACATTAAACAATTGTCAATAGCACTAATTTGCGTTTTTGTTTTGTAGTCTCTGGTTTTCAGCAGCCACTGTAAAGCAGTGAGTGGCTATTCAGACCAGGTCATCCATCAGCGGAGATCAGCTACCTCCTCGCTTCGTTGCTGCCTGCTCACTGAGCTGCCATCTTTTTTGTGTGTGGCCAGTCCACGAGTAAGTGCCTCAGTAGAGAAGCAATAAAATAGGTGGTGTTTAAAGAAATAAACCAGTTTTCAGGGGGTCCGTGTCTTAACGAGAATGCTCAGTATTTAGAAAGAGGATCTGTGGTCCTATCTTTCCTAAAACAGTATCCCTCACTTTGAATTGTGTTGGTTTGAGAACCATTGTATGGCAGCTAGAAGTAGCTTCTTTCTCTGATGTTGCGTCTGTGCAGTTCCTCTTATTTAGTCGGGGGTTCTAAACTACCATGGGAGCAGGCCATCTGTCAGGTGGATTCCCAGCCAGTAGCAGGGACAGAGACATTGGAATATTTGAAAAGGAGAGGGAGCCATTTGTCACCTGTGTTGAGGTTTTTGAAGGTTTTTCAGAGACTGGGGCCAGATTGGGAGGGAGATTTGATCTGGCCTTATCGCCTTGGTATAGACTCCATAAAACAAAGGGAAACCTAACACTCCAGCATCAAGAAACTTCTTAGCTTTCTTCAGCAGCCCTGCATGGACTATCCTTCATGAGTATGATCCCTCTGAAAAGTGACTATTGTGCCATATCTTCCATTCAGTAGTTGTAGTCTTACTTGTAGATGGGGAGTAATTTCTATTGTGGCTTCAACTTTAAACAGCTGTTAGATCCTTCCTAACACCCTGTTTATCAAAACAGGGTCCTCTGGTGATAGCTGACAGTGTCGCTGCAAAGGCTCCCGGAACACTGCAGCTGTTTACCTTGCTTACATCTTCCACTCTTTCATGTCTTTCTGATCAGAGCCAGGCAGAAGCTCTCTTACAACCACAAAGAAATACATGAAGGGAGAGGGGCAAAGTAGAGATGTGGCCAGACTGCTGTTAGAGCAAAAACTAGCTTCTGTCTTTCCAGCTTGTTTCCATTTGCTTTAAGGGGCAGCTTTCAGTTAGCCCAGGACACAGTAAGAGGTTGACTTTTCTTACCCTTCTGTGTTTTTATCTTGTTTTTGCCACTTATCCTAGCAAGACTACTGTTTTCATAGTTCCATTCAAAGACGGTGAAGACTTTAAATCTTCTTTGTGATGTTTCTCTACCACTGTTTATATAAGCTTGCATCCTTACTTTTATTAAGTTATCAAAGGTCAGAATCTGGCATAGGATCCAAAGAAAGATGACAGGTGGAAATGAGATGATGGTACTGAGGCCCGTTGATTCCTGCCTGCCTGAATTTCTTTGCTGATCCTGTGCTATACAAACGTGATTCTCTTACCATGATCAACTTTGTTTGATTTATGTTGTCCAGAAAGTATTTGGGTTTTGTATGTACCCACTTCTTCCAATGCATTCTTGGTATTTGAAGCTTAAATTGATGTAGGGAAAAGCAATTTTTCTACAAAACATTTAAATCCAAGTGCTTCCATAGAAAGCAGCCTTCAGGCTTCATAGTTGTGTAGTTGTTTCCTTTTTTTGTATTCTAATCTGTAGCGTATACAGAGAGACCTATAAGAGGAAGTCTGGATTTTTGAGAGAGGGTTGTCAGAACATTTGTACTTCTCATATTCCCCATGTTTTATGGAGCCAAAAAAGAGTGAACTGCCCTGGACTGTAATTGCATTTATGGACATAAAATTTTTCATTTATACCACTTGGAACTCTGTAGCCAACCACTCTGAAGAATAATCCCACCTTCCTGACATATTTACACATGAAAATTCCCACTGTTCTAGTTATTATTTCTGAGGAGCCTGAAGTCTGAACTATCATGTCTGGTACTGATAGTTCCCTAAAAAGCAATAGTAACTTGAAGAAGACTATAATTGTGTAAAGGTGTGGGGCAAGCAGGAAGCAAGAGAAAGCTTTTCTCACCTGGCTAAAGGTTCCTCTCCAGCACCCTTTCCTTTTCGGCCCCTCTTCCCATTACTTGTTTGTAGAGTTTCTTCAGTAGCTTGTGCTAAATCTGAAGTGGGAATAATCACACCATAGTCACAAGGATGGGAAGAAAAGTTTTTAACCTGTCTGAATGTTTTATACACGTCTTCAGATCTGGTCTGGGGTGTGAGTAAGGCAACATTTCATGAGATGCTTAAATTATATTGATTTCCAACCTATCTGTGGTGGAGAGAAACTGATTTCCTTTGAAGCCCTAGCCCTGGCCTTGAGTTAAGACAAATTAATTTCCGTGGCACATGCCATGAAAACTTTAGGGTCAGTTCAGGAAGAACTGTGTCACTAAGGAAGGAATTATCATTAGCTGAGGAAATCGTTGTGCAGGGTTAATAAACTAAAACCCTGGGAATTCATCATACCAAAAAACTAAAGCGCTTGGAGCGGTCACGCTTCTTAGAGCTAGAGCAGGAATCTACATGTCCTCAGGAAGGACGCGCTGAATGCTTGAGGAGGCAGCCCCTAAATATACTAGAGTTTAGGAAGTTAATGAAGCAAGCAACAAGGGTCAGCTCATGTGAGACGAAAGGGAATGTGCATTTCCATTTGTGGGGAGGCAGGAATGGTATGTCATACTTCATCTCCCCTGCTTCTGAGCAGTTGGGAAGGCTGCTTGGGGTGGACAGAACGGGTGGAGGTGGGCTGTTTAGGATAGAGCTGACATGGAAGGCATGATTTAAGTAGAAATGGACGTGTTTGCTTCCTTTTAGACCTCGTGGGTTCACTGCTTATGTACTTAAAGCATCACATTCTGTGATTCTATATATATCTCAATTCAGGGCTCCTGCCAAGTAAGCTTAACAAAACATTAAAAAATATTTCACTACGAGCTGTGCCTTCAGAACCTGCTAGTTTTTAATCCTGAATTTAGAAGGCTGTCAGCAAAATAAAATTGGAAAATAGGCGAACGTTTATAACTAGAAAAAGTTGTTTTGTTTTTAAACTATAAAAGAGTGTCTAGAAATTAGTTCAGACAGGAAAAACATTCTTTCCTGTGTCACTGTTTTTGCTTTGTTCCTTCATGATTTTCTAGCTTTTGATTTTTCTTATCAAGAACATGGGCCCAAAGTTTTTATATAATTCCAATGTATGTTCTACTTTTCTTAAAAATAAAAGAGCAAGGGAGAAGGGGGAGGAAGGAAAGGACTGGGAGTTTGGGATTAGCAGATGCAAATTATTTTATACATAGGATGGATAAACAGCAAGGGCTGACTGTATAGCACAGGAGCTGTATTCAATATCCTGTGATAAGCCATAATGGAAAAGAATATATATATATATGTATAACTGAGTCACTTTGCTATACAGCAGAAATTAATACATTATAAATCAACTATATCTCAGTAAAATTTAAAGAAAATAAAAATGGTCATCTTTTTTTTTTAAGTGGTCATCTTTGAATGTAAAATTTTTAATCATCTGCTTTGTGCTTTCAGTCTTTATTTGCCTATGCTCAACTTCCAGTGGGAAAAAATGAATAACTTGAAAGCAAGAGAATAAACTCCTTTTGGAGTGGGTAAATGTGATATGAGATTACCAAAATCTGTTCTTAGCCCTGTCTTGGTAAATTGATTTACACCTGTGTTGTTCTAGGTTTTGGGGGCTTCCCAGGTAGCTCAGCTGGTAAAGAATCCGTCTGCAATGTTGAAGACCTGGGTTCGATCCCTGGGTTTGGAGATCCCCTGGAGAAGGGAATGGCTACCTACTCCAGTATTCTGGCCTGGAGAATTCCATGGACTAGTCCATGGGATTGCAAAGAGTTGGACACAACCCAGCAACTTTCACTTCACGCTTCTAGGTTTTGGAGTGCGGGGTCCCAGCCAGCTACCCACTGTAGTTTTGCATCAGGACCATAGATGGCACTGCTTCCTAGCAAACTCAGTTTAGCTTCATCTGCAAGCCAGAGTAGTATACTCTTTGTTTATTGGTAAATGATGTTCTTTCTCCAGTTTTGGTATTCTCTGGTTTCCACCAGGGCTTCCCTGATGGCTCGGATGGTAAAGAATCTGCCTGCAATGCGAGAGACCTGGGTTCGATCCCTGGGTCGGGAAGATCCCCCAGAGAAGGGCATGGCAGCCCACTCTAGTATTCTTGCCTGGAGAATCCCATGGACAGAGGAGCCTAGCGGGCTACGGTCCATAGGGTCACAAAAAGTCGGCCATGAATGAACGACTAACATTAATACTACTAGTTTCCAGCAGTTAGTGGCCCCATAGTTAGCTATCTGTTTGTTTATCTGCTCCAAGGCAGTATTTCTCAAGGTTTGGCTTTGTTGTTCAGTTGCTAAGTCGTGACTCTTTGCAACCCCATAAACTGCAGCATGCCAGGCTTCTCTGTCCTTCACCACCTCCTGGAGTTTGCTCAAACGCATGTCCATTGAGTCGGTGAATGCCATCCAAGCATTTTCTTCCATTGCCCCCTTCTCCTCCTGCCACGAACAGTATGAGATGCTTGGGTGCATGTCAAAAACCTAGAACTAGTGACTCCTCCCTTAGATCTGGATCAAAATCTACACATTAGATAAGCTCCCAAGAAGGTTCTTTTGACAGCCATTGCCCTAGATATTGATGAGCATAAAAATAGAAAAGTTAGTAGCAAGGTAGATTTTCGTAAATGTCTAACTTCTAAAAAATAATAGGAACAATAAGACTTTAAAACTAGGTACAGTACTTTATGTTCTGATCTCTCCCATCTCTCTGCCCTTGTTCCTTCTAGCCACATTCTTCCTATATCTTGGTCTAGCTCCTTGACTCTTCTGAGCAATTTTCTGCTAATAATGAGCCTTTAGCCTTTTTATCAACCTGGGCTTACACATAATCAAAGCCTCGAAATTTTAACAAAAGGTAACCTCAGACTTTTTATCAGATGATTCACAGACAATTGAATGCATAGTTGCTTATTAGAGTGGGAATAGACTCAGGTCATTAAAAAAGAATTAAAGTTGAAGTTTTTAAATTGACAGACTTCTTTCTGTTGGGGGTCAGCATTTGAATGTAGGTGCATCTTGTGGTGAGATAAAAATTTGTGCAAAGCCTCTGCCCTAGCCCAGAAATGAATTCATTACTCTCTGGCACCTGCATTCTCCGTTCCCTACCACCTAGTGCTCCCCACAGCTTATAGCCTGAGAGAAAGAGTCTCTTATCTTCCATTGGGTTTGTTAGTCAGCAAGCAGCCTGGTCAGGGAAGAGGAAAAAGAAATGTTGATAAACTTGGGCGTTGCGCCACAGAAGCGTTGAAGACAGCTTCCGATGCACCAGGAGAATGCTCTTCAGTTCGTTAGTGATGGCTGTCTCACACTCCCGTAGTGGTCTCACCACACTGTGTATGGCTTATAGAACTTTGCCACTGTCTAGCAGTGAAGGGAGATGGAAGAGTGACTCTCTCTATATGACAGAGTTACTCCTGACCTGGTACCTGCAAACTCCAGCAGTCTCTGGATCCTTAGTTTGTTGCAAGTTCATGTTATGGAGATTGGCCTTTTACCTGGGGAAGCTCACTGAGCCAGTTATCAGGGGAGTTAAAACCACTACCTAAGAATTATCCACGTAAGTCTGATTTCAAAGTCAAAGTTCCCAAAGGGCTTAGTGCGTGTGGAAAATGTGAAAGAACCATCTCATGAATCTTTCCCTGCAGGTCACCGCAGTGCCATTGGATTCTTACTGCAATGACCGAAGTGCAGAATATGAGCGGCGAGTGCTGAAGGAAGGAGGGAGTCTGGCAGCCAAGCAGTGTTTGTTGAATGGGGCCCCTGAACTTGCGGCAGACTGGCTGAATCGACGGTCCCAGTTCTTTCCAGAACCAGCTGGAGGACTGTGGAGCATTAGGCCTCAGAATGGCTGGTCTTTCATCAGAATTCCAGGTGAGTTCTCCTTTCTCTTGGCATATGTTCTTGGCTTTGGCAAGGAAAGAGCCAGGGTGTTAACTTCATGCAGTGGTTTCAAAATTTGAAATTCAAGAGTTCTTGGTGTTTCTATTTCCTCTTTTACCCTTAGTGACTATAGGTAAGAATACTTAAGTAATTTGTGACTTGACTGGAAAGAGAAATCTATTTTAGATTTCTGCCTAAATACTCTCTTTTGAGAGAAAAAGGAGTACCACTCTTTGGTGGCCAGGAGCCAGAGTTGGGGCAGGGATGGGGCTGCAGTGCAGGGAGTGTAGGAAAATAAATTTGGTAAGAAAGGCTTTAGGTCGAATGAGTACAGTTGTCTTGTGCCCTTGCCAGTGGAATGAATGAGAATGTCGTCACTCGCAGAAAGCCTAGTTTAAGTAGCATAAACAGTGTCCTGCACGAAGCACTAGAGATCTGAATGATAACCAGAAGAAAAACAGTGTTTTGTGCCAAAATGCTAGCGGATTCCCAGACCTCCTAGGGTCAAGGTCGAGGGTTGAAAGGAAACTAGGTTTTCATTTTTGCTTTAGTGAGACTACTTTTAAGGAAACTGAATACAGGGTTCATAAGCTTCTGTTCTTTGTTACACCTGCTGGCATACTGAAGTAGTAGCTTAAAGCTTCCACATTTGTTTCAGTTGTCCAACTTCTCTGCCACTTTGATTGTGTTCATCTTACAGGCATATGAAGGAAGTAAACTAGATTTAAGTGCTCAAAAGAGAGGTTCTGCTGTTTCTAATAGGTAACTGGGTTCTAGGCTTTAAGGCCTGGCTTTTCCATTTAATGTTAACTTTGTCAAGTGTTGAGGGACTTGGGTCAATCTGTTAGTTGCTTTCGGGGTGCTTTGAACTGGAAGATACCATTTTGTATATACAAGAGCAATATTTATATGACTTCATGTCTGACTTAAATTAGATGAAAGCAGTGGGTGCTGGTCTATTGTTGGAAAATAAGGGGAAGCTCAGGTGTAAAACAGGCCTGGATGGTAGTAGGAATAGAGGAATAGAATCCAGCAGGTTTGGAAACCACAGAGTCCCAGGCAGAAGATGGGCACAGGTGTTGAAAGAAGCAAGATAACACCCTATTTCTTCTTTCTCCCTTCTTCATTCTGACTCCCAAGTTCCCAGTACACAAGGAGAAGGCTTATTGCTGGCGCTGTGGGAATCTCTTGTGGCTTTTCCTGTTCTTTGAAAGAAAAATGGACCTTGTTTAAATAGCAGGAAGTGTCTGAGTTCTTTTCGCATCGATAAAAAGCACCAGCCTCACTGGCTGTTTACTGTGAGAACCAACCAGCTCCTCACTGACCCCATTGTGCTCAGTAGACTGGCTGGGCAGGGCAGTGGGGGGTGGAGGGGGTCACTGGAACCTGTATTTTATCTCTCTTTCCTCTATACTTTTACATTTTCTGTTTCCCTGGGAAGAGTTGGTTTCATTATATTCCTTGCAAGACTGAGCAAAAATCTCCTGGATTTCATACCTCAAATGTGTCTCTGTGTTTCACCAAGAGAAGTATATACAGTCCCTTCAAAAGTCTCCTCTCCTTGAAAAAAGGAGATTGTCTTTTATCTGTTATCCTAATTTTACTGCCATTGATACATTCATTTTGTCAGTGACCCAGCATCTTATACTGTGGTCAGTAAGAACTTGTGTCTAAGTGAAAATATTACAAGGTTGCATTGCAGGATTGTAGGAAGGATTGCAAGATGGTAGCGTAGGTCTGTTCATTTCACCATTTTTTGAGCTTCTGTTTTAAAGAAGGGGCTGGGCCCAGGTTTGACTTGGTAGAATCAGCCTAATTTCTTGGGAATTGTGCTCTTCCTGACTCGATGCCCTGCTTAGCTACAGGTGGTGCTCTTGTCCAGGGCAACTTTGGTAGCTCCTGAAAATTGGGTATTGGATGTCAGGCCCAGAAGGCACTGGTGTGTGCCATGGAAGAAAACTTTTTTCTGCTTAAGTGTTTTAAGGGTGTTGCTGGTCACTTTCTTCTTAGATCTTTTCCTTCAGGCAAGTCCAAAGAAATCAGTCCATCCACTTCCATCTCCCCCACCTAAGCAGTAACAAGCTAAAAGTAGGTACAGCTTCTTGCTTCTTTTAGGTTCATCAGAGTTCTCTTCTAAGTGTATGTACATCTTCATCTTTGAGTTTTCCTAATCCTAGCATTGGTGCGTTCTGCTTAGCAAGGTAAAGTAGATGTGAGAAGCAGGAATGTGTGAAAATCATCGAATCGTGATTTTGAGATGAATTGGAACTTCTCAAAATTCACACACAAGACACATTTGTATATGCTTAAATATTTGTCTTGAGGGAGTATATGCGAGTGGAAAGAGGAGATAAGCAAGCTGCAGAAATCTGATGTTCTTAGCTTGCCCACTCTTACTCAGTGACTGAAAAATATATGGGTTTCTTTTTTTTCCCCTTCCTGTGCTTTTAATGAGAAACAAGGAAACTTATTGTCTGAAGCTGATTGGTACCTCTGTGGGGAATGTTTAGGAGCTATCAAAATTGAGGGACCCCAGGGAACCCAATTAAAAGAGAAGGGTAATTGTGACAAGGAGAAACCCTTGGAGTTGTTATGAAAGCGTTGCCTGCCTGATCAGACCGGGGACTGTCATACAGGCCTCCTTGTCTGGTGCGAGCAAGAGGGCTTAGCAGTCGGTTCTGTCCCAGCTGCAGCCATTTGATTGTGTTGGTCAGGAGACCAACAAAAAGGAGAGCATTTCAATAATCTAAACAGGACCAAACAAAGAGACTGAACAAAGGTGTGTGCCACAGCGTCAGGGAGTGGGGGTAGGGAGAGAAATGGGGCCTGGCAGTGTTCCGAAGGTGGGAAAAGGCAGGCTGTAGTGCAGAGGAGTAAACATCCAGGACCTGTGGCTTTGTAGCAAAAACAGAGTCGCTGATGATTTGTTGTGATGCTGTCAGCACATCCGTTCTCATTCAGTTTATACAATCAGTTGTGCACTTGGCAGATAGTGGCGAGAACAGAGAAATGACCATTGAAAACTTTTGGATTGCTCTCAACAGTCAGCTTCTGTAGTTCAGAGGGAAAAACCATGGGTTCAAACCTGGAAACTAAAAGTAGACAGTATGTTTTTCTTAACAGTCTTCTTGTTTTACTTTTAGTAGTTGTGTATGTGATATTTCTAATCTTTCTGTCTCCCTTCTTATGTCCCACAACCACTTCCAAATATACTCTTACCTCTCTCATTCCCCTAAGTTTCATCTCTTCCCCTCCTAATATCAGCAATTGTTCAGGGCATGTTTATGGGCCAGTCTGCAAACAGGAAACTCTACTTCCTGAAATGTGATGGGAGTTGAATGATACTGAATGGATAAGATGAAAATTTCTGAGTTAAGTGTTCTCTAAAGATCTCTGGCTGAAATGCCTTTTTTTTTTTTTTTTAATGGGAGGAGGAAGGAGAAAGGCACAAATTAGTGAGTGAGAGCAGCTTCCATTTCACAGAAACCCAAAGTCTTTCTGAAAAAGCTGAATAAGCCCTAGTGCCTTCATTAAATTACAGCTTAGGATAATGATATTTACCAGCCAACCTATTTGAAATCATCCAAAAGAGAGTGTTTTTTATTTTTTTGTTTTGTTTTTTAGTGTATTTCTTGGTGTTTAAGTGTCTTTAGGGGCAGGTAAGAGCTTTACTTTCTTGGGCTCCAAAATCACTGCAGATGCTGACTGCAACTCCTTGGAAGAAAAGCTATGACCAACCTAGACAGCATAGACGTTACTTTGCCAACAAAGGTCCATCTAGTCAAAGCTATGGTTTTTCCAGTAGTCACGTATGGATGTGAGAGTTGGACCGTAAAGAAAGCTTGAGTGATGGAAAATTGATGCTTTTGAACTGTGGTGTTGGAGAAGACTCTTGAGAGTCCCTTGGACTGCGAGAGATCAAACCAGTGGATCCTAAAGGAAATCAGTCCTGAATATTCATTAGAAGGACTGACTGAAGCTGAAGCTCCAATACTTTGGCCACCTGATGCAAAGAGCCAACTCATTGGAAAAGACCCTGATGCTGGGAAGGATTGAAGGCAGGAGGAGAAGGGGATGACAGAGGATGAGGTGATTGGATGGCATCACTGACTCAATGGACATGAGTTTGAGCAAGCTACGGGACTTGGTGATGGACAGGGCAGCCTGGCGTGCTGCAGTCCATGGGGTTACAGAGTCAGACACGACCGAACTGAACTGAACTGAAGAGCAGCTCTTGTTTCTCTACATTCTCATTCCTTCAGGAGGTAAACCTTAATTTAGCCATAGAACTAGCAGAAAGAGATACCTAGAGATAGGATGAACAAAGGAAAAACAGATTTCTCAGGTCACTTACAGCAGGTATGGCATGGATGTTACTCTAAGATGTCAACATTACCTGCTGTCTCTTGAAAAAGAATGTGGAACAGGAAAATTTTCAGGTACCTTAGCTGCTTAGCAAATGTCTTATTGGGAACTGTCAGTTGGGAAGGGACCTCCCTCCCTCCTTCAAGATGTTTCTTCCCAGAGCACTACTGCATATGATTTTAAAGCACTTTGCATTCTTCTCTAGAGTACTTTCCTGCTCTCCTGATGGACAAGCATCCTGGTTGTAGTAATTTTGGCTGCATACAGCTTTGCAGTGAGTGATTTTGCTGCTTCAATTAAATACAATTTTCCACTTCCCCCTTTTCTTCTCCCTAGGCAAGGAGAGCCTCATCACTGACAGTGGAAAACTGTATGCCCTTGATGTCCTGCTGACTCGGCTCAAGTCTCAAGGACATAGGGTCCTTATCTACTCCCAGATGACCAGGATGATAGACCTGCTGGAGGTAGGAGAAAGAATTGTGGGGACTAGAACACTTTGGCATTTAACTTGCAAGAATCAGACGTGTATGGCTAACGTCAGTGCTGCTTAATGGAAACACCAAACTTGTCTTCATGCTCTTACCATCTGTAAAGGCAGAGGAAGCAACTCCTGGCAGAGATGAATGTGTGTAAAGGACTTCTTCCTCCTTCTTTATAGCAGTGAAATAGAATCCCCTCTTCCCTCCCTTTACTAGGGAAGAAATTCCCTAATTTTCAAGTAGATCAGAGCCTAGGAATTTCTTGAAAAGTCCTCTGAAATTCTGTATGGAAAACAAGATTTGGAATTAGTTCTCTATTAGAGAGCAGCTGTTCTACCTGAATTAGTGTAGTATTTCTCAACCTGATGACATTTTGCAGTTTTTGGGGGGAGCTTTAACAAATATGAATGTCTGGTCCCATCCTCAGAGATTCTTATATAAAAAGTTGGGAACAAAGCCTAGGCATCAGGATATTTAAAAGCTCCCCAGGTGCTTCTAATATATAACCAAAGTTGGCAACCATTGTATTATGGTGAGAGATACAGCTCTGTCTTATTTTGCAGGACAGGTTTTGTTTCTTTTGTTACCTCTGGGTTGACATTTGCTCTGCTTTCTTGTTGCTGAGGTAATGGCTTATTATTTGAGGGAGAGAAAGTCATGGACATATAAACAGAGGAGTGAAAATGAGGATAATAATCACAGACCACTAGAGTAAGTCTTTAGTGCAAAAAATTTGGAAAATCATCCATCAAGAAACTAAAGCACCTGGATGTCAGTAGTGTATAAATATTCTCATGTTTTTTTCATGTGTTTTAACTATCTAAGGCTTTAAATTTTAACCCTGCTACTCCAGAGACTAGTTGGTAGTAAATAAGTAGAAACTGGACCATGATTATCCCTATCTAGAAATAAGAGAGTCAGATTCTATCAATACAGAAGGAAAGAAGGGTAGCAATAGGAAGAATTTTAGGTTCTTCAGAAGCCAAGGCTGGCTCACTGAATCTTACAGTGAGTTTATCTGAATTCGGTGGCAGGTTCTTACATAAGCAGGCAACTTCCTTTAGCAAGAGACATAACAAATGATATTCAAGGTCAATTTAATCACTGAGTTTTATGTTTAATAAAAAGTATTTAGCCTCTAGAATGCTGTCAACAAGCAAAAGTTTCTGGTTTGTATTGTGAGTAGGTCATCTATTTCTTTTTTTTTTTTAATTAATTTTTATCAGAGTATAGTTACTTTACAATGCTGTGATAGTTTCTGCTATACAACAAAATGAATCAGTCACACATGTGCATATATCCCCTCCCTTCTGGACTTCCTTCCCTGTAAAGTCACCACAGTGCTTTAAGTAGAGTTCCCTGTGCTGCACAGTATTTTCTCATGACTTATCTATTTTGTATATAGTATCAATAGTGTATATGTGTCAACCTCAGTCTCCCAGTTCCTCCCACTCCCCTCCCTTTGCCCCTTGGTATCCATACATTTGTTCTGAAAGTCTGTGCCTGAATCCTTAATATTCTGCTCAAACTAAATGATGCCAAAACAATATGAGTAACTTTCCTTCAGTGGGACTTTTTTAAGATAAAATGTTCTTGCCTTTTCCTGAAGAGTCAGGAAAGTATAGATGAAGTAGTAATGTTTCAATGATTAGAATTATAGAAAAAAGCAATATGCTAAGGATTTTGTGAGGGAGTCAGTAATCTTGTTTCCCCAAGACTATATCAATATGTTATAAAGTCTTAAACGCTGGTTCACATTAAAGGGACATTCCAGGAAAAAGGGAGTGCCACCAAAAAATAAGCTAGCTGTGGTAGATGAAGGTGAGTGTGGGTAGGTTAAGTTTGACAGAGTCCTGCATTTTAGTCCCTTATTCTATATATTGCACATTTCTAGGTATTCATAAATATTACTTATTACTAAGATAAGTAATTCAAAGTATATTAAGATGAGTTTTGTTCAGGATGAGTGCTCTAAACCCTACTCACCAGGGTCCCTCTGTCTCTGATCCAGCAGGATGTTTAGAGGGGATGGACTCTGTGGGTAGGCTTAGCAAATGCTGGCAGCTTGAGAACCTTCTCTAAATGTAGTTGCATCACTCTGTGGGGAATTAGAAATTAGGGAAATGCCAGTTCAAAGCCTGAATTTCACAACTGCTAACATTCTTTAGCCATGTGTATAACATGCATCTAGGATGCTGAAGCCAGCAAGTTTTGCAACTGTTTGTACTGAAAAATTAAAGTGGAACTGTTGTCTAGTTTCCTTACCACTATACTATTCCTGTTACTACTGTACTATTTTCCTTCAGCATTAAAAGTTTCTTTTTCTTTTTCAGTCTGTTTATTTGTTTTAATACTGTTTACTCAAATGAATCACATTTTGTATTTCAAGAGGCTAGTCCTCCAAATTTATTTTGTGGGCATAGAATTACAGTGCCCACAGTGTTTAATACATGTCTAATCATTCATAGAAGTGTAAATGTGTTGTGGATCTTGGGACAGTACAGGATTAGGTTTATTTTTTCATTCTTTTCAGAGTATTATGGGTTTTTCAGTCACTTTTCATGATGGAAGCTTTCACGGTAAACTTTTATAGAGCCATATTCCACTTTAAAACATGTCCAAGTGTTAAAAGAAAAAAATACCTTCACCTTGCCCTTGAGTCTTCATTCTCATGGTGTTGTGGTTTTGTTTACTTGTTTGTGCTTTTTAGAGTAAAAAAAAAGTTTTCAGGATTGTCTTTTTCCCTGGACATCTTGCATCTTGTATATCAAAGAGGGAAGAAAAACTTACTAGAGCAGAAATTAGAGCTAACATGGGCTGCTGACGCTCTGCTGTGTAGCTGTGGAGTACGTTAGCATCTCTTTACCCAACAGCCTTTTTGGGTTTTTTGTTCTGTGCTTTAACCCTGCCTATGTGTTTGTTTCTGGGATTCAGAAGAACCGAAAGATAGTAAAAATTCACACACTTTTATATGGCCAGGTTTCCATTTTGTGAAAAATACTAGATCAAGGCACTTTGTACTTGCTCAATATTTTCTAAAGTGATTGATAGCCTCCTTCTCTTGGGCAAAAATCTGATTTTAATTTAAATTTCTAGTAAATGTATCAGATATTCCAAATAGAATTCTGTTTACAAAAATATTTTATCTTTTCCCATGGTATCCAAATAGTATTTCTGGATAAGGGATTTAAAAAGGAAAGTAACTTCCAGGGCCAAGAACTTGTAGTGTGTCATGGGTAGAAGTTAAGGACATGAATAGAGGAAGGTATGGCAGGTCACCAAATGTTATGTTATTAGTTTATTTTATATTACCAAGTCACATATAGCATCTTGGCTGATGTGGCTACTATGGACACAGGCATAGTGCTTGTCCAGTTGGGATGGTGGCGTCCAGCTGGATGTCAGAACTTTCCCCACCACCACCATTTTACCCTGATTTGCGACACTCCCCTTCACTCCCCATAGTTTAGTACTTGCAGAGAGCTTTAACTCACTACAGATGACTTACGTTATCTCTGCATCATCTCTTTTGAGATTCATTCATATTGCATCAAGCAGCTGAGTCTGTAGTTTAAGGAAATAAGTCTCAATATTTTCTATTCAATACACGAGTACTTGGAAAGGGTCAGCCAACTGGTGCTGTATGTGTTGTGATTGTTAAGTACTGAAACCCAGACAAATCTTGCACTACACCAATATATGAAAATAATACAACACAGAATTAAATCCAGATAATCCATAGCTAATGATGATATTTGAGACACTGGGTCTTATAAGTTGCCTAGTCAGCAAGTACCTCACTGGGGAAGGATTCATCCCAAACAGACATTCTATCATTTATGGGCTGATTTTCTTAGAACTCCAAATAACCTTTGGGAGCTATGGTTCTGAACATACAGGGAAACTGAATGTTTTGTAACTGCTCCATGGAATGAAAAGCAAATTGAGGTCACTGTAAACTAGCATTTTCATTAGGTCTTAGAAATGATAGAAGGATATTTGTGTTTGCAGCCACACTGTATTTTTTCTGTTTAGTTCATTTCTTTTTCATGCCATTTCTTTTTATGAGGGAGGTGTTGTGCCAGGCAGAGGTAAACACCAGTTAAATGTGGTCTTTGACTTCAAGAGATGTGTCAAGTGAAGAATTTATATATATGTATACCACACAAATAACTGTCAAGTGTATCCTGATACTAATGCCAAAAATAAAGCATCAACAGAGCTGAAGATAGCAGGAGGGATACATTTATTTCTAACTTGGTCACTTCAGGAAGGCTTCACATAAAATGACATAAAACCACACTTAAATAGAATTTCAACCATGAGGAAGAAGGGCATTTTCAGACTAAGGAAGCCACATGTAAAAAGGCATGGAGGTTGGAGGGTACATGACATTGTGTGCGTTGGGAAAGGGGGGGTTAGTTCAGTGTAACTGGAGCATATGGTATAGAAGAAAGGGGAATAACAAGTAGGGTGAAAGCAGATTATGATGGGCCCTTCAGTGCCTTGTGATCAGGTCTTGCTCCATAAGGCTTTGTATTAGATAAAGGAAGGATAACTGCCATATTCCACTCGGTGCAGTTTGCTTGGACAAGAGAGAAACTGTAGACATTGAGAGATGTCTCACTTTTTGCTAGTGATATACCTCAAAGATGGGAGGGGGCATGTCTGGAAAAATAAAGTTACACTAGGTCTGCAGGTTTATGGATCATACTAACTTTCCTTCACATTGTTTTATGACAGTGAAATTGGGTTAAAATGAACACCAGAGAAAACTTTGAAATAAAAGAGAAGTCTCAGAATGGAAGGTTTGTTGTAGGGAAATGTAAACATTTGCCTTTATTTTTTCAAGTGCCCAGTTAACTCTTTATGTTGATGATGGATGGGAGTTACACAGAGCATTATGAGGCTTCTCCCGCCCCCTCCTTTCCTTTAGTGGTGATGAGCTTCTCTTCTGTCTGGAAGCAGCAGGTGGAAGGATTAAGCTAAAAGCTCTGGATCCACTCTGCTTGAATTCTCATTCTAGCCGCAGTACCCACTGCCTGTGTCACTTTAGAGATCTTACTTAGCATCTGTTAAATATGGGATTGACAATAGTAACACCTATCTGAAACAGCCTTTCTGGATAAGTAACACCACGTAAAATACACAGAATAGTGATTGTTATTTAGTGAATGTTCAGTAAATGCAAACCATCATCGTTATCACTACTACTTCAAGGTGAACCTAGACCTTTTGTATTACATCGCTGGTGTGAATGTTTGCTTTTATTTAGTGTACTGTAAAGGATTGAGAGGCATTTCTGAAACTATTTTGAGTTTTGCTGATAACCTCTGTTTACATGCTCCTGCTTAAAAAGTAGGACTTAGGAATGTGTTCCAGAACAGACCTGTCCTCTCAATTTGTATTCTAAGAAAGTGGTTTTCCAACAGATAAGGTTGGATACAGGAAAAGAGACTTTTAAAGTGTAGACATTAAATAGGTAGGGCCCTGGACTCCATACCTTTCTTTGTTAACTAGAATAGTAAATTTTCTTTAATCTATTTTATATTAGAGGGGTTCCATATAAGATTTTTCTTGAAAAAAGTGTTCCAGTGCCTTAGAAATAGCATAAGGATATGTTCTGTAACAGTGTGGATGTACTTACAAATCACACCTGTTAAATGCAAATCCTGATTTATTGGATATATGGGGTATGCCCCTCAGTTCTGCATTTCTAACACACTTCATGTGTTGCTCATCTGAGGGGCATGCTGAGAAAGCATGATTCTAAGGGACCCTGCCCTGCCTTCTCTCTGTAGTAGTTGTTCTCAGCTCTGGATATAATATTTTTGGATGTTTTACATCAGCAGGCATCTTTGGAACTTTTAAAAAATAAACCAGTCTAGGCCCTAATTCAGACCTACAGAGTCAGAATTCCTGGAGTGGGACCCAGTAGTTTTAATCCTGATTGAAAGTCAGTCCTCAGATGGCAGGAGTACCTCTTGTCTATAACCCCTTTGCCTTCTTCAGTAATTTTTAAAAATAGTACCTACTAGAACTATATGGGTCTAAAGACTTCCTAAATGATAAAAGCCATAATTTGTATTTTATTAATTCAAGGAGAACTAGAGCTTACTTTGGTTGGTGGTTATTGATCCACTTGAGAATACTGGTGTTCATATTTGTTTAATTAGGGGAGAGTACTGAATTATGATGGATCATTTTTTTAGCCTTTCCTAAATAACCCAAGTAGACTTGAGTGAGAGAATGCCCTTGGTTTCTCCACAGTGCCAAATGTCAGGAAGAACTGGGTAGTGGTTGGCCTTTCTGTCACATAAGCTCTTAGTACTGGACTGCTAACATGGCTTGGTTCCTATCCAACACAGTAAAGTCCTCCAGCAAGCGGCAATCATCCAGCTGTGGTCCTCAGGCATGGGAGTGAATTACAGAGGATTGAGGGGTGAATGGGAGTCCTGTGCCATCCTTAAAAGATATTTAACTGCAAAACTCAGAAAATAGTTACTAATTAACCAACTCTTAGCTACTGGCTTTGAAGAGAATATATTAAGCAAGGCATTTACGATGGATCTTAGAAAACCTTTTGATATAGAGATTGTTAAGTGGGGATAGATTTTTAATGGGCAAATAATTGCTTTACAATACTCTGGATTTTTTAAAAATAGATTTTTAAATTTTCAAAAGTTCTGTGACTACTATCAAATTATTTGTTGTTAGAATGCATCTTTTTATATTTTAAAAAAATTGAATTTTATATTAAATCAGTAGATGTTTTTAGGATTATAGGAGAGCTAGACTAAGGATGGAGCAGTTCTTGAAATTATGATTGGAAAAAATAAGGTTTTTCTTTCCAGATGAATATTTGATTAAATTAAGTATCTTTTTCAAACAGCCTAGAGTTCGAGAGAGATGTCTAAGGTAGCTTTGGGGCAACCTAGCTCACAAACTAGGTAGTTTGGGGCTTTATAGCTCACAAACCAAAATTTGTGAATGAAAGAAATATTGAGTTGCTTTTTTAGCTCAGCCTTTTAGATGTCTTTCTGTAGTGTGAGAATATAGCTATTCCTCTATTCTGCTTTTAATTGCTGTTTCCATGTCCATGTACTTGTTTTGAAGCTATTTACTGAAATAGGATCTAGACTCAGCTAAGCCTTCTGAAATGCCACTATTCCCCTGGGTGAGAGCAGAGGCTTAAAGCAGCAAATGGGAAAGATTCACTTCCGTTGCCTCAGTAACAAGCTGTCTGTAATCAGTGTTGGCTTGGTCATGGTCTAGGATTAATATTTCTGGTGGTGTTCTGACCTTGATATATAAATGATGTGTATAGCAAGATCTCCAGGAAGATTCATTCATCACTGCTATGTAAAGGCAAAAGAGTGCCTATGCAGGAAGTCCACTTTTGGGTTAAAATTCAAATCTGTGGGCTCTCTCTCTATAATCTAGATATTTTGTTGTTCTGGATGGCCACATCTGATGGATTAGAGGCTCAGGTATAGTGACCTCTAAAGACCATCGTCATGCTGTTATTTTTCATCTTCTTTTCTGAATTCTTCCTTATCCAAACATCCCCTACTACTCTTTTGCCATTAACCCATTCCTATTATAGGGTTATACCACTAAATGTGAAACTTGCTTTGACTGAATATTTTCTGCCCCTCTTTGGTTACCAAAGCCCTTAAAGAATCCCCTGGAGACAGAAACAAATAGTGAAAAAAAGAAGAAAAGATACATACATATCAGCTTGCTCTAGGAGTGCTGCTGCATACACTACACCAGCCATACCAGACTATAACAACCTTACATACTGAAATACCCAGCCAGGTATAAGAGCTGCATAATGAGAGTATTACAATAAAAGAGCATTTGACCACAGAAAGTTATTTGGCACATATAGCTCTCAAATGTAGAAATGATTAGTCTTTTTCAATAGGAAAAAAAATTTTTTGAACTGAAAAAACTGTTTCAGGGTGTTTCTTATAAATCAGCAGCTATATTAGCTTTTGATACTAGTCCCTCAATGAGTGCACTTTTTGAAATGCAATCCATATGATTGGATAAAGAAAGAGGAAATCATTACATCATCTGTAAGAAGAATTGCGGCTTCCAAGAATGAATATATATTCCCTCCATTACATCTCTTGAAATACCTTCTCCATTCTTAAAAGTTGTAATTCTTCTTACAGATGACACCAAGAACATTCTCAGCCATGGAAAGTTACCTTGTTGCTTAGGTCTCCGTTAACAGTAATGCATGCTGTGCTGAGAGAAGGGAGCTTAGGTTATAAATTCAAGGACTTTGGTCAGCAAGAATTTGCTGGAGAGAAACTCATTGGGGTGAGTGCTCCTTCCTGAAAGAAAACCAGATATTCCATAGCCGTGAGAGGCATCTGGTTGGTGACTGAAAAGCAGTTTTGGTGGAGATTTTATTTTGTTTCGCTTGTTTGTGTTTTCACAAAATCTACAAAAGTCTGCAGGAATAAGATTAGTCTTAAGTTGAAATTGAGAGTGGTTGTAATCTTCAGGGTACCCTCTGGTTTTGCACGCTGATAGTAAGCTTATTTACAAATCAAATTCCTATACTTTTGAGATTGCTTTGTCTTCATTCTGGATAGAATGACTTACCCTGCATGGATAAGGTGGGTAGATCCTTGTGAGAATTAGAATGCAGTAATTTGCATCAAGCTTATTATATCTTTTTGCTCTGATTGACAGGAATATATGGTTTACAGGAAGCATACCTACATGAGGCTTGATGGCTCATCTAAGATCTCAGAGAGACGGGACATGGTTGCTGATTTTCAAACCAGGTAATGTTAATAGAAATTACAAAAATTGTCATTTGATTTTTCCTCTAGTTGAGATGGTAACTTTCAAAGAAATACCAGTACATCTCAGATTGTTAAGCAATCATGATAAAGTTCCTGCCACTTTAAGAGGTAGCTCAATCTGCTTATAATGGTTCAGATCTGGGTGGCTGTGAGAGAGAGAGGAAATGAATAGTTGGTAAGTTCAGTATTCTAAATATTCTTTCTTACTGAATCAGCGCCTGTTTCTTTGGGCAATAAAAGAAATAATTTCTGAGAATGAACCAGGATCCTTCTTATGTAAATAATATGTATGTTAAAAAAAAAAAGTCCACAAGGCTATATTCATAAATGTTAACAGTGGCTATCTCTGGGTATTGACTTATAGTTGGTTTTCATTTTGTTTTGCTTACCTATTTCATTTTGTGTAAGCTTAAAGAAAAATACCTTCTTTTTTCCTGCTTTGCCCCTAATATTGTAGTGGTGCAGTGCACTCTGACAAATTGCCATAGTGTGCAGTCTATTCATCTGGCAGCTCTCAGTTACAGTACCTATCCTACCCGATAATGAGCCTGTGAAATTTCAAATACTGCCTGCTGGATGCTGATGGCCTACAGGGCCATAATTATCCTAAGTGCAGGTTCTCGTTGTAATAAGCAGGGTCTAGTTACTGCTCTCTCCAAGGAGAAAGCCAGGCTGTACTAGTGATAGGTCTCTTGAACTCAACCTTTAATTTTCCATGAGAACTAAGGAATAGACTAGGTCTTAATGTTCTGTAAGTCAGAACAATTCTGAAGTTTTGGCCTTTAATTGTGTAGTCTGTTACTATTCATCTTTTGAATTCTTGGTAAGAAAATTAAGGACATAGCCACTTGTATTTAGATTATAATTTTTTAATTTCTTTTATTTCAGTTTTAAAGCATGTTTTATTTCAACATAGAACAAATCTGTAATTCAACATAGCATGCATGCCCTCTGAGAATTTTGCTATTGCACAGTCCTTAGTAATACAGCATGGGTAAAGAGGTGCGTCCTGGTGTTTTAGTTTACGGTGCATACTCAGACCAATAACTCCTGAGTTGAAACTGCTTCTGAATTCAGGTGCCTGTTTGACCAACAGTGGAGGGGAAGAACTTCTTTGGACCTCTTTTAGTTTATTACCTAGCAGAAGCTTTTGGCCAGTTTGTCAATTGATCATTTAAGTGAGACATGTATAAGCATAGTAGTGCTTCCAGCACTGCATATTGTCTTGTACCTCCCCTCACCCCAGAGAAAATTTACCAGCTGATCTTTATCTTTTCTTGATTTTGAAATCAAATGAAACACATTTCACTATGTCCTTATCCAGTCCAACATTCAGAGCTCCACCTGACGAGAATCTTAAATGTGAGATCTTATAGACTGTTTTCCCTTGAGTGCCTATATTCTCTCCAGGCGTATGTGTTAGAAGAAAAGTCATTAAGTAATCGGTCTTTCACCTACCACTGTTTGTGGTCCCCCCCCACCCACTAATATGTTTGATATTGTACATTTGAGAATCTCCTTTATAGAAAAGTTTTTTTTTTTTTTTACGTAACAGTTGTGGCCATTTTGTATTATATAAAATCCCTATTGAGGAAAATTTGAGATTATTTGATAAAGTAAAAATCACCTACAGTCTCATCACTGTTAACATTTTGGTTTATCCCTCTAGTCTTTCATATGTGTGTGTAATTATATTTACATGTTGTTGTTGATACCATATTGTACAGATAATTGTGTGTCCTCATTTCTTCCACTTAACAGTATTTCATAAAGATCTTCATATATCATCAAAAAAGTCATTATAGTCATTATTTTTAATGACCAATATTCCATTACATTGGATATACCATCTTTCTGTTGTTAAAATGTTGAATATCTTTGTTTATAAAGCTTTGTCATCATTTTAGATTATTTTTTAGTATGGATTCAAACAAGAGAGATTACTGAGTGAAGGGATATGAGTGTTTAAGACTGTACGTATTTTCATATTACTTTGTAGGAGATTCTGCTGATGTCGATAACCAACCAGAGCTGTAATGTGTTGACCTGGGCTTCTGAGTTGTAGAGCTATAACTTTTCTTCTAGCTGATCCAATTCCCAAAACTGGGGATTACATGGGGGAAAAAAATCAGTAGATGTATCTATTTTACTACTTCTAAAATCTCTTACTTGTGATTACTTGGGCAATCCCAGTAGCTTAGCTTTAAAAGAAGGGTATTTTCACCATTAAATTATACTAGATCTACTTAGTAAATACCTTGTTTTTTAAACTTTCCTGGAAAACCTTACTTGAGTGTCCAAGTTCTGCAACTAAGAATTACTTGGGGAGCAATGAGTTTTACTTAGACTCAACATGAGTAACAATCATTTTAACACCTGCATCTAATAGGCGAAATGAAAAAACAGACTTAAGTCTTCTTCCCTTCTTACATGATGAGCTAGACGAATTAGAATTAGGGTTATGGCTAGGAAATAATCTCTCTCTCATGTATAGAATCTGAACTGTATCTATGCTGATCAGAAGCCTGTCAGACAGATCCCTCCAAATGGGATCTCAACTTATAAAAGTTCTCAACTTATATATTTGAAAGGCTAACCCAATATAGAGAAAAAGACAGGTGTTTTTGAAAACAAGAAAGCATCCTTGCCAAATATTTTCATTGTTATTAATGAAAAGACATCAAAAGAAAAAATGTAGTTTTCAACTGGAAAGCCCTGTGGCTCAAAAGTCAGCCAGAATAAACAAGAACTCCTATAAAAAGCCATTTACATTCCCTTCATACAAGATTGATTTATGAGGGGTCCTTCCAGGAAAGAGTCTAACTGAGACTAAAGACTGTTGGCCAGGATGTCCTGACTGGGCAACATTTAGACCATGTGACCAGTACATGATCCTAGACTAAGCCATTCACAAGGGCTTTGCTCTGGGGTGCCTTGGCCTTTTGCTTCCCTTCCTCCTATCCCATGACATTTCCCAAGTGGACCCCCAGCCCCCCACCACCATTACCTGATTACGTGGGTGACTGGAAAATATGAGAAAAAGTAAGAGCGTAGTGTGGATTTTTTCCTTCTTGGTGATAGTATAAATAAAGCTCCAGTGTCTTTAATTCTAGCTGTTTTCCAGTCATCAGCAAGTCTTTCCCAAAGTCAGCTACAGGCCTAGCACTATTTCAGTATTTTGGTGCAAAGTGGCCTTAACTAAAGAAGAATTAGAGTGAGATTTAGGCATGTCTTTGCTACATGATTTCATAGGCTCCTTCACAGACCATCCTGAAACCTGGTCTCTAAGGCCCATGCCAATAAAGACGCTGAGTTGAGATTCCTTTTTAGCCCCATAGAGGGCACCTGAACTATCATGTTGCCTTCTGGGTTTCTGTTTTCTTCCTTTTAGTCAGCTCCCAAAACATTAATTTACATTATCAATGCTAGATTTATTAAGTAGAAAGGAACTTCTCAGCAGTTCAATTTAGATGTTTTGGTTTACATATGATCCAACAGTGTGATCCGGGATGGACACTAATTTCTTTGACTTTTAATAATCTAAGACTCCCATAATCCTTATTTTTCCATTAGAGTATGATGAAATTACATTGAGTACAGCCAAACATTGCTGCTTACCATCTCCTCATCACTAAAAGGTACCTTTTCAATACATAGGTAACATCCCCAGAAAAGCATTTTCCACCATTAATATCTCTAAATTTTGTTACTAATTTTTTTAAGCTAGATTCCTTTCTTTAGTATTTTTTCTGTATATAGTCCCTGTTTGTGAAGAATTGCCACATCTGGGGACTTATCTCTCTGGCTGTGCAGACTATGGAAATGACCCATCTTTCTGCCTCTATTCTTTTTATAGATCCCAGCTGCCTTCTGTGTTTCTCCTTGTCCCACCCCTTTGCCCCATCCCCGTATCAACAAAAAGTCCTAGCTGTCAGGTGACTCCATCAGCTCTAACACAGATATTGGAGAGAAGCTTCTGACTCCTGCCTCTGTACCCACCAGAGCAGGAGAGAGAGATGCTTGGGATTGAGCAGTCTTCTTAAGGCCAAAGTGGAGAAGATTATCCTGTAGAGATTAGTATGGCCCTGGAAAGCTACATCAATGTTTATTTGAAGCATTATTGTGGTTAAATATTCTCCTGTGGGCGAGGAGGTATCAAGCTTGCATTTACATCATCGCATATCTAGGGGAGAATGTGTTTGTAAACTGGCAGATGCCTTTTAACTTTCTGGTTTGCCCTTTATGATTTAACTGTGAAAGATGACATCATACAAATAAAATTATGAAATACTAGACTTCATGATAAAATTCAAGGATAAATGAGCACAATCTAGTACTTTTGGAATCATGCCCTACAAGAGACCTCCAAACGTGATCTGTTATCCATGTCTGCCTCTAGGAAAGCTGGTTTAATTGAATCCAAATTAATGGACAGATTTCTACTAGGACCTACCCAACTTAGGGATTAGCCAGGATACTTACTTCAAGTAGTTCCTTCACTGGTATTCATGTTTGCCATTGATATATCATCATTTAGTCACTTCAGCTATATTCAGAGCATCCTCATTTTATAGTGCAGGAAACAGACCTTTAGCAGCCAAGTGACTTTACCAAGGAAGAACTGCATCAAGGGATGAGAGCATCCTAATGTCAGTGTGTTTCTTTTTTCTTTTAAACTGGAACCCACAGAATAAGATTCATCTTACATTGAGATTTAATATATATTTACCATGTCAGAAAATCAGAAACAATACTTATGACCTGTGATATAATATTTTCTAATCTGTTCTTTTTATTTCTGTAATTTATGTGTACCAGACCCACCAAACTGATTTCATGACCAATGATAGGTATGACCTGCAATTTGAATAACACTGGTAATGAATTGCCAGTTTTATTGCTCATTATAGTCATGAAGAAAAGGGATCAGCAGCTTGATTTAGAGGGCTGTAAAGTTTGTTCACCAGTATAATGCAGTCCCTTTCCTGTAGAAATGTTCTGGAAAATAACCTCAGGTGACAGAAACACGAAAATGCAAGATAGTCTTGAATACATTCGTGTTATCTGCAAGAACTGGACTTGAACTGAGCCCCTGATTACATGTGTGTACATAGATAAATCTTATAGTCAAAGTCTGTCCTTTGTGATCTGGCATGGCCCTTGTTCCTGAAAGATATTCAGTGAATATTTACTGCCTGAATGAGTGACAGGGGCACCTACTGATTTATTTGTAATCCTTGGTTTCTTTAAAAGGATATAGGATGTAGAGGGGAACTGAGAAAACTATATCTTAGCATTTCTGTTAAGGGTAGTGTTGGCATCCATCAGAAAAGTGCTTTAATTTTAGCCTGTCTTCATGGATTGATCCTAAATTCAGCTGAATACTTAGAAGTCATAACTTGAGTCTTAATCCTGACCTCAGGTCATTTTTCTGGACTAACTTTCCTCATATGAAGTTGAATCCTTCGGAGTTACAATCATTAGTTCCCAGATTATTGAAAGTCATGATTCTTTGGGGAAACACCAGGAAATACTGACTTATTTTTCCCCATGGTATGAACTGGGAATAGTTTGACTTGATAAACAGTTGACTATTACAGAGACGTCTCTACTTCCATGGCATATTTTTCTGTTACATTTGCCAAATATTTTAAATTATATTGCCTGTCAGTCAGTATTAGTGGGCAGCAAAAGTTTCTCTGCAAATTGAAAGATGACTGCCATGGTTTCATTTTAGCAACCCAGCACACCTCTCCGTGTGTCAGAGAAACGTGGATCAGATCTGGGTAACCACCAAAACTTTCTAGGTCTAGACATTGTTCTGTGTCCAGAGATCCCTCTCTTTTGCCACTTGCCAGTTTTCTTTTTCAGTTTTTCCTCTTAAAATATCTCTCCCTCTCCCTCTTCTTCAGGAATGACATTTTTGTGTTCCTGCTAAGTACACGAGCTGGAGGACTGGGTATCAATCTGACTGCTGCAGATACCGTAAGTAGCGAGCTAAAAATATACTGAATATGTAGTTTTTCTACTGTAAATATGTTGTTTGGTTGATACTGTCCTTTATTATGTATCACAGACTTTATTTCTTTGCCTCTTGTGTTAAAAGGCAGTAGTTTCATTTGGCCTGGAACATGTTAGCTTTCCTTTTTAGACTTTCTTTCTATTCTCTTATTCAAAGTTTCTTACACATTCATTCAACACATATTTAGTAAAAGTATATTGTGTATCTGATACTGTTTTAAACACTTGGACTGTGTTAGGGAACTCAACCAATAAAATTTGTTTTAGGAGCTATAACTGAGCAAATCAGAAAGGGTTGTTTAATGACTCTTACATATTATTCCATCATAGGAAAAACTCGTATTTTTATACCCTAAACTTCTAAACATGGTTGGAGAGCAATGAAGTTGGTGATTTAAAAAATAAAAAGACGTCTCATCAAATTATCTACCCCTTTATACCCACTCTCCTTAGAGCGATACTTCAGCATCTGAAGTATGGGTGAAGAAAAGAGCATTCCTTTTGTATCTCAGAACTATTCCCAAGATACAAACATACTTATAACAATTTCAGTAACCTTGAGACATAAAAATGCATAAATGGGAAATTGTTTTGTAGACGGCATGACTCTACAAATACTATTTAATGTGGTCTTTGTGGTACCTCTGTGAAATACAAAGCATCAGAATCTCCACAAATAGGAGGAAGATTCAAACTCTGGAGGGTCATGGAGAAATGAAGTCCAAAGGTGAAGAGGCTTGGATAAGTTCACAGCAGTAGATCTGAGCTAGACCTCCTGTTTCCCAGGTTCCACTTCTAGACTGTCCATTCTTTCTCCTTGTTAACTGCTGCACTGTAGAATTGCTTGCCTTCAAGAATGAAGAACAGAACCCATAACATCGCCAAGTAGAGTATCAGCCACAGGACTCAGCTGTACTTTCCTCAGCATCTAAACTTCAGCCAGTTAACCTTGTCGGGACTGGGTTCCAGGGCCTCAGGTCTGCTGGAGGCATAACTGGGTAGATGCTGTAACTTACCTGTACATCATCAGCCTCAGTTATCTTGAGAGAACGCAGTCAGTGGTGGTAGTGTTGTCCTGGGGAGTCCTCTGATGAGGTAGCTCACTTGGTGCCCTGTTAGCAGAAATTTGCCTTTCCCTTTGCCCCTTGGTTCTCTGCTCTAGTTTTTTTCTTTTTTCTGATTAGTTACTTTGGTTGTAAATTTGTGGGTGGTAGAGGGCAGGTTCCATAGTTTTTGGATTCCTTCAAATTAGAGAAATGAGACGTGGGTTTGAATCCCAGCTCTGCTATTCACCTTGTGAACGTGAAGCAGTTGCTTGACTGCTCTAAGCCATAGTTTCCTCCTCAGTAGAATGAATATAATAATCTTTCCTTCTCCTAGAGTTGTGACATGTTGCCTAGAAAGCATGTGTGGCCAGTGCCTGCACATTAATACCCCTCAGGGATCCTGTGGCCTGAGTCGCTCCTAATGAGAGAGCCAGGTCCAGGACTTTGTTATTTATACTGGGCTGCAAATAGCCTTCCTTTCCCTTAGGCCTTGTCTGCCTGGCTCTGTGCTCAACTCTGCTACTATGGGAAAACTGGGGATGGGAGTCCAGGGAAGGCTTTGGATTCCCAGGGTGGGTAAAAAAAAAAAAAAAAAAATCACACATGATGTGGATTGAAGGGCCAGAGCTGGGGCCTGGAAGCCTCAGAGGAGGAAGAGAGATGAATGGGGAGGCAGTACTCCAGAACCCTGCACTGGTTCAGCATTGCTATGTCCTGGAGGCGTGGCTAGAAGAGGGTAGAAACTCTTAGGGGCTTCCCAGGGGCAGGAGCTTCTTCTCCGGCACCTTTGTCCCCTCCAGGGTTGGTAGATAAGCCTTTCCTGGAAGAGTGCTCTGTCATTGCACAGCCACCCAAAAACTGAGCCTGAGTTTGTCTCTGGGTCTCCCGTTTCCCCCTTCTTGCCCTGGGGCAGCCTTGGTCTCCACATCCAAACTGCAGTTATCCTCAGAGTCATGGGTGAGAATGCCAAGCAGGTCTCTCTTGCCACACTAGGCTCTTCCCTCATACCAAGAGGTGCCTAATGGGGCAGGCCAGGTGCAGATTGGAGGATTTGGAGGACGAGTTACTTGGTTCTTGGATGGGTGTTGAGACACTGTTTAGTGTGTGGGTGGGTCCCAGTTATTACATTTATCTAGTCCCCATGTTCTCCCACCCCCTCCCCTCCATATCCCAGGCTTTGCTCCAACTGGCCACAGCCAATGCATATTTGAAATAGAGGATTGAGTTCATAGGAACTGATCCAGACACAGATTCAGTTCAGCAAAGTGTTAAGTTCTCTCCCAGGTTAAAGGGGATCCTCTGACCGTGGCCTAGGAGTTGACAGCAGTGGGCCCAATTAGTCTTACTCTTAATGTGAGTACAAGATTGATCACTTTCTCCTAGCTGATCTTTTGGACTCCAGTCTCAGCCCCAAGCCCCATACCTCCTCAGTTTGTTTATACCCTTCTTTATCAACCATGCTAATCTCTTGCTTAAAACTCTTCAGGGAGTCTCAGGGAGTCTCTGTCATCTACAAGATAAAGTGTAAGCTCTTTTACACATACAAGGCCCTTTACTTTGTGGCCTTTATCTCCCTTTCCAGCCTAATTGCCAGACTACTGCTCCTTCCACAATTTATATTTCAGAAACAATGATTGATTTGATTCCTGAACCTCCCATACTGTATCATGTGCGTGCTAAATCACTTCAGTTATGTCCAATTCTGTGCGACCCCATGGACTGTAGCCCGCCAGACTCCTCTCTGCATGGGTTCTCCAGGCAAGAGTACTAGATGGGTTACCATGCCCTTCTCCAGGGGATCTTCCCGACCCGGGGATCAACCTGTGTCTCCTTCATTGGCAGCTGGACTCTTTACCACTAGTGCCGCCTACGTAAACAGCTCCCTCATCATAGGTCTTTGTCCTTGGCATACCTCTTCTTCCGCCTGGTGAATTTCTGATTGTTTTTCAAAACCCAATTCATGATCAGGGGTTGCTGTTTTATATGGACTGATAAAGCTCTGATAAGGTGACATTTGAGCCAAGATCTGAAGAAAGTGAGAAAAGCAAGCCAATTATGTATGTGGCCTAAAACAAGAGCATTCCAAGGAAAGGAGATAAGTGCAAAGCCCTGAGGTGAGAACACACTTGGCATAATCGAAATGAAGCCAAGCCCTTTGTAGGGGGAACAGAATGAAGGTGGGCAGAGTGGTGTCATTTGAGTGACAGAAGCAGATTGTGTGCGACTTCATGGGCCATGGTTAGGATTTTGAGGTGAGAGGCTACTGGAAGGGTTTGAACAGAAATGTGTCCTTCTGGCTTCAGGGGTTGTGGAGTGGGGAAGAGCAGGAAGTTCAATTAGGAATTAGACATAAGGCAGTGGTGACTTGGGCAAGGATTGAAGTAGTGGAGGTGATGAGAGATATTTGGAATCTGTGTGTATCAATATTTTGAAGGCACAGCCAGTGGGGTTTGCTGCTAGATTGGATGTGGATCATGTGGGTCAAGGAGAAGTACACGATGTTCAGTGTGAGGAACTAGGATGATGGAGGTACCAGCTACTGGTTAAGGGAAAGTGCACGAAGAAATGGGTTTGAGAAAGAAACTCAAGAGTTTGGTTTGGGGTGTGTTAAGTCCAAGATTCTTAGCAGACATTAAGTAGCAGTGTCATGCAGGCAGTAGAGTGTGTTTTAGGGAAAAGATTGAGGCTCAAGATATATTTTGAAGTCACCAGGTCATAGGTAATGTTTAAGGCCATGAGGCTAGATGAGGTCACCTGGGAGACCCAGCATTGGTTCATTTGATTAAACTGTCTTCCCCTTTTCAGCCTGCCTATCTCAGGTTCGATCTGTGGTTTCTTAAGGAATGGTTTACCTAGTCATTCATTGGAATAACCAAAAAATAAGCAGGTTTGAGGGGGCAGAGCTGCATCAGGCTTCTGGTGTTGTGGGTTTTTTGCACAGGCTTCTCTTGTTGTGGACCATGGACTCTAGGCAGAGATTCAGTAGCTGGGGCTTGTGGGCTCTTGAGCATGTAGCCTCAATAACTGTGGTGCACAGGTTTAGTTGCTCCATGGCATGTGGAATCTTCCCGGACCAGGGATTGAACCTGTATCCCCTGCATTGGCAGGCAGATTCCCATCCACTTAGCCACCAGGGAAGTCCCATGCTTCTAGTTTTCACAGCTTGTCTTACACAAGTGAGCTACTCCTGCCAGTCAGGAAGAACCAAACCTAACCCTAACCCCACAACTAGAGGAGTAGAAATAGGAATTCTCTTTACATCCTGGGACATAGAGGCTCTGAATATTCTGAGTCTCCAATTCTGAAATAGTTTACATTTAATTTTGAGGGGAAGGCTAAGGGACTCACAGATTAGAACCTCTTAGAATACTCAGGGGAAAAAAAAAATGGAACCACATGATTGAAATGAGTTGCTAGGTAATGGTTTGTGTGGAGTCAAGCTATACTCACTGTGTGTATTATTAGAGAAACAATAAGTTTAACTGCTTGCCTGGCATTTTTCCTTTGCCCTGAGATTATTTAGCTTCGGAAGATCCCCAGAACCATTTATGGACAAGGAAGAGGTTAGTCACCCTAAAATGTCAGGAAAAACTTAATGTTTTATGATTGAGAATGCATATATAAACATGTGTTTTGTAAACAGTGAGACTCTGACTCACTCTGTTAATAAAAACATGATTTTACCATGAAATTAATGGCAGCTGCCCCTTATTGTCTGCCTTGTTCTTTGTGTATTCTTCCTGAAGTAGGAATCTCTTTGCATTTGACATTGTTTAGTAAGGGATTGTTATAAACTGCACTGTTGGTTTTGTTTTTGTGTCATGCTGTTTTAAATGTTTGTGTAGAAAGAGATTGAGGAGCTTTTGTCCCATAGTAGCAAGCAGTATGAGAAGTCTTATGTCCCATGAGACACCATGGGACGGCTTTCAGCCCTTCCAAGGAACTGAACTTCTAACGCATTCTCCACCCATTCCCTCCAAGTGTTGGTCCAGCTGTTTCCAGTTGTTCCTCTCAATTTTCCCATTTTTACTCCCTCATCCCCTGAAACTCTCTTTGACTTAAAGAGCCAAGAGCATCCCACCCATTTCAGCTCTCACCTTCCTTCTTTGCTTCCCCTTCCCAGTGCCCTCCCAGCTTGCTGTTTACAACTTCATAAAAGTGCTGACAATTAATATATTTCCCCTTAGTCATTGCTGGGCCACGCATTGTGGATTGACTGGCTCTGATCTTTCCTGGTTAAGTCAGTTGTTGTATTCTTAATTGTTGCTTGTTTTTCTCTAGAATGTCACTGAGCTCCATAAAGATGGGTGTCATAACTGTCCTACTCCAGTGGACATTGTCTCCCCTGAGTTCATGTCATGGTGGATTCAGTGTTCATTTTTTATTGTCGAGGTAGATAATAACCATACATCTCATCTGGTATTTATATCTCTCTTATTCTTGTCTTAACTTTTTAGCTTATACATGTTTCATATTATTTTGCTCTGTGTCTTTTTCTAAGTAGAATTTTTTTTTTTTAAACATCAACAACTTATTAGATAGGGCTAAGTAGAATCTTATTTTATTCTCTCTTCCTCACCAGTTCTTTACCTCTTTTAATCCGTTTGAATGATAAGAGCCACTAAATTGGGGAAAGAGGGGACTTGGAAGTTAAATTGCAAACCTATCTCCTTAGGCTCCAGTCTTCTTACTGTTGATGACCTCAAAAGAACCCAAGTTGAGTCAGATTTGGTTGCCACTGAGACTTCTAGGAAAAATGTAAATATGGAGGAAACACTTATGAAATGATTCCTAATATAGGGTTGCCCATTATGAGTTCATGCTGAACTATTCATTGCCTTAGGCTTGGACTACTGAAGGTACTGTCTTTTGGGTGTGATATCAACTCTCATTTTCCACATATACATTCATGTTAGGTATGTTGGGCAAACAGTTGCCCCCACCCCAGTTCATTGGAGGTCTCACTTTCATGAACTCTGTCCTCTCTCCCTTTGTTCTCCCTGAAAATTTAAACTGAATTTTCTAGAATTTTTGCCTATCGTGTTGAAGTTCCAAAATGTCCTGTGGTCAGGTTTTCTGTATTCCTCTAACAAGTGACAAACATTGTATACTTCCAAATCCTAGATCTGTGGACACTGGCTTAACAATAAGCTTTCATAATGATTTTCTTTCTTTGGCAGGTGGTTTGTCATTTCTTTTTCCTCAAGGATTCTAACTTACACTAAAAGTTGAGGGATTATACCTCATATGAGAGCAAGACAAAAGGAGTGCCATAAGAAAGAGAGTCAGTGGGGGTTCTTAATATTAGAGGCAAGAACATTAAAAATGCTGATGCCTTTTATCCATCTTCACATCAAGTGAGTTCTGCAGAAAATGGCAGAAGAATTGCTTCCATTATTAAATGAGAAAATAAATTACTTAGAAATAGTGTTAAGCAATGGGAAAAGCATCTAGAGGAACAGTGTCAAGAGAGATGAATTACTCTTTTGCTTACATTTTAGTGCTTTTTCTAGTTTTGATCACATCTTAGAGATTCTAGTATCAATTGACTAGTATTTGTAGAATTCTACTTTGTTCTGGTGGATGGTGTCTGTCCTCAAATAACACCAGGTAGGAAAATTTGTAAAATACACAGTACATATGAAATAATTGAATATCTTTAGAAAATAGTGACTATGTGGGAGCTTGAACCAGGATAGGCAATGTAACATTTTGCTAATAGTGCAGGTTGTAAAAGCAGACTATTAAGACTGTGAGCTCAGGCCAGTCTTCCTAATTTATGAGATGAAGGAAATATATCAGGTTTTTATGAAAATTTAGTGAGATATGTATGCACATCTGTTTTAAGTGCTTAACAGCTTTCAACCATTGTAATTTCTAATAGGAATTCATAAGGAATAGGAAAGGAAAACATTGTTACAGGCAAGAGAAATCAAGGAGGTCTAAGTCAGAAAATCAGCTTGAGCAAGAAATGGTACAGTCAAAGTAATATAAGTGAGGGATACCAAAGAGAACTACCTGACAAAAGGGAAGGAGTGTGTTTATATTAGGAAAGGATAAAAGTGAAGTTGACTTATAAGTATATAGCAGGACCTGGTTATTGAGGGGAATTTGGACTTGATGTGTTATAGCATAATTGACAGAGGGATGGAGTGGCCTCTGGTGATACCCAAAGTAAACTGAAGAAAGAGACTGTGATCTCAGAAGCCTGCTGATCTTGAAGCATCAGTGAGCTGGATGTAGGTGGTGAGGGCCTGGCCCAGGAGAAGGACAGTGGGGATATAGAAAGAATGGGTTTGTTTCTGAAGAAGTACTGGCTAGATTTGGTGACTTGGTTGAACGTAGAGGAGGACACATGAGAGATGAGGGTCACTTTTAACTGGCTTTCTTTTAAGAGATCCACTGTATTGATAGTAGCCTCAGGACTGAAGATCCAGATTCTTTTGGTTTTAGGATCACCTGTGGGTCAGGGGAGTAGGGAGTACATTTTGTTCTTTGTGTTTGTTGTTTAGCAAACTAGAAGTAGCTTCCAGAGAACCCTTTAAACATTTCTTGCCTGAAATTCAAGACAGGAAATGACCCTGTTAGTGGGAACCTGAGAATGCCAGGAAAGCCATGCCTGCCTCTTACCAAGGTAGACTTAGGGTTAAAAAGAATTTCACATTCCAGGCCCACTGCTTATTTAGTCTGTGTGATCTTGGATAAAGTCTCTTAAGTTCCCTGAGTCTCAGTTTCCTCATCTATTTATATAAAATAGGGGTTTTTAATAGTGACTAAATCATAGTGGTAGTTGAATTTAAGTGAGTTAATACTCATAAAACATCTAGTACAATGAGTGGCAAATAGTAAGCCCTGGATGTTAAGTGTTAATATTGTTGCCACTCCTTCTTTTTAAATGAAAACCCTGAAAAAAACTCAGAGTCTTTTGCCCAGAGCAGATGAAGAATGGCTTGGTTTTATGAGTAGATATCTGTTCATCTTTATGTCATAGAAAAAAACCTGGTATCAAACTGTTGAAATAGATGAATGGCTGGATTGCTGTCAGAATTCCTGGTGTTGCCCTGAGAGTGCCTCAGTCTTTGCTGTATTCTTGTCCTGCCTACACAGGTGATTTTTTATGATAGCGATTGGAACCCCACTGTGGACCAGCAAGCCATGGACAGGGCCCACCGCTTGGGGCAGACAAAGCAGGTTACTGTCTACCGACTCATCTGTAAGGGCACCATTGAAGAACGCATTCTGCAGCGAGCCAAGGAGAAGAGTGAGGTAAGCAGAAGGCAAAGGAAGTACTGTGTTGGTAGAGAAAACAGTTCAACCATAGTGACTGACCAAGACTAAGACTCTCAGCTTTCGTTGGTCATGAAAGCCCTGAAATTTCTTGTGTCTAGAAGCTATAATGAAGTCCTGTACAAAAGCAGCATGTACTGGCCTGGCCATTCCTCACTCCTTTTCTTCTGGAATGGTATCTACACCCTGTATTCACCTGTCATCCATTTGAAGAAGACCCCAGTTGTGGCCCTCGTGTTTGACATAGTTTCACATTCATGGGAAGAAGAAATGGCCTTTGCTCCTGCCCTAGTATTCTCGGTGTGATCGGCCTCTGAGCTGTATGCTTAGTTTGCTAGTTTCTAAAGAAATTATCATTTTTGGTTCTTTTCCTTCTTGATTCAGTATTATTGGATCTTATAGTTATCAACAGTTTCAAGCAAAGAAGTTCTCATTGTCCTTTCTGTTGGCACAAATGACCTGGATGAGCCAGTCACGAGAATGAAAAAAAAAAAAAGGAAATCCACGGGCCTCACCAGAAGTACAGATTGAGAAACATGTTTCTTTCTTTCTGGATATTTTCCATAAGGGAACAGATGCCTATCGGTGATTTTTTTTTTTTTTTTTGCTTTGGATTAGATTCAACGGATGGTGATTTCTGGTGGGAACTTCAAACCAGATACCTTGAAACCCAAAGAGGTGGTTAGTCTTCTTCTAGACGATGAAGAGTTGGAAAAGAAATGTATGTACTCTAGACCTCTTATTAATGCGCTCTCCTTATCTCTGGCTCCACATATCTGAAAACAAAAGGGCCCTTGATTATGTCCCAAGGGTAGGCAAAGCCAGACTGTGTTTGGGGAGAAACACTTTTTTGGTTAGTACTTTATTTTAAAGCTCATACAAGGATATGTTATGGAGTATAAGGAAATAGGTGTATTTTTAGAGTAATATAACTTCAAGTAAATGTGTGCAGGAAGGCTGTCTCCTAGATATCCTCAGCAGTAATGAATTTACTCTCTTTTGCCCAGAGAAATATTTTTGTGAAATTACAGAAAAGTTGGAAAAGCACTTTGCCATATGAAATATTCAGACCCTTCTCCCAGTATTTCTGGCTTTTGAGAAGCCAAAAAGTGGGTTTCAGACTTAACCTTGTGAACTTCTGCAGGCATGGACAACATCACATCAGAAAATGTGATGAAGCACCTTTCTTACGGTGCTCATGTGTGCCACTACCTTCTGAAAACCTTTTAGGACTCTGTAACTATACTCGGATCGGTGCAATGCACAGATATTAGAAGGCTGAAAAGGAAAAAGGAAAGGCGTGGAAAGGCCCATGACAACGAGACTGAATCATGGTTTGAACCCAAAACTGTTTAGAATCCAAGGAACTCCGTTCGTTCTCCGAGTTAGGAAACCACCAGTTATCTGCCTGCCTTGGATGGATAGAAGTCATACCTTGAATCATAAATATCAAAGAATAAGGCCATCTTAGTTTCAGAAAAGAAGGATCAGGATTGCCACAGGTGCTTCATTAGGTCTTAAAATTTTCTTGATAGTGAGACTCCGGCAAGAAGAGAAACGGCAGCAGGAGGAAACCAACCGAGTTAAAGAACGCAAGCGCAAGCGGGAAAAGTACGCAGAAAAGGTATGTCAAGCTGGGGTGGTAGACTGGGGCTGATGGGGCTGCTAAGTGGTCCCTCCAGAAAAGACTGTAGAGTACATGCTTGTCATCTTGGTTGCTGGTTGGTATCCAGCTCCACCTATGTGTGTTATATAACAGTTCTGTCCTGACTGACGATCAAGCAGGAGAAATGCAGCCTCAGTATGGTTGTACTCCCCACACAGACATAATTATATTATATGGGTCTGTGGTCACATGTAATTGTAGAAACCTTTTGTTGGGACTGTTAAAAAGCTTAAGTCTAAATGTGAGTAAGATGAATGTTAGATTATTAGATTCTGCAGAATCTTAAAAAGGGCCTAAGAGGTCATTAGATCCAGTCCTTCTGCCATAATTCTTCTAGTATCTACTACTGGAAAATTAAATCACTGTCAGTCTATTCATCTCTTTCTCCAATTCGTGCCAAGGATTTGGGCTGAGCTGTTTTCTGCTTTGTGGGGTTTTTTTTTTTTTTGGTATCCCTTCTGACATTTCCTGCTTGAGCCCACCAGGCTAGATGCAACATGGGATGTAGTTCCCCTCCATTTCTTCTTGTCTTGCTGTTTCTGCACATGTGCCAGTAATCCTTATCATAACCTAGTCTTCGTTGTTGTTTTTAAAAACATGTTCCCTAAGTCATATCCGACTCTGCGAACCCATGGACCGTAGCGCAGCAGGCTCCTCTGTCCATGGGATTTCCCAGGCAAGAATACTGGAGTGGGTTGCCATTCCCTTCTCCAGGGGATCTTCCCAAAGCAAGGATTGAACCCAGGTCTCTTACATTGCAGGCAGATTCTGATCCACCAGGGAAGCCCCAAAGACATACCATATTAACCCTCATATAGGTCTAGATACAAATGCTGTTAGCATTGTATGAATATGATTCCCGGGATTTTCTAAACACACTCTGATTCCACATCTTTAACCTGTGACAAAGCCCTACTGAACTTGGCTCTAGCACTGTTTGGTGTAGCTCAGTCACTCATTGCTTAAGCATTTTCATGTAAATTGAGGAGATAATGAAAAGCCACGTCAATATTCCTTGTGTATGAGAAGAATCTTCATTCCCCTTATGCATATTTAAAAAGAAGGCAGAGTAAAAACAGATGTACAAAAATAAACTAAGAGCAGGGGCCCTCCTGCTTGTGGGGCTGCACTGGTTCAGCCTGATAAGTGCTACGAGGCTGCGCTGGAAGCTGACCGACCTTGCCCTGTTCAGATTCTGTTTGGCACAGCTCCATTCAGTGTGACTAGCCTTTCAACTCTGTATTATTGTGGTAGAATATGCATAAACTTGTGCTGAGTGATTCCTTTCCTCCTTCCTTGGGATTTTTTTCTTTTTTAATAATATGCTAATTGAATAAAGTGAAACTTCGACATTTACAAAGAGTCAAATATCTGTCATCACTTTCTTCTCCAACCCCACTTTTCTCTCAGTGCCTTGCCTCATGTTTGTTTCTGTATTTCTTGATTTGTGTGTTCCCAGAAGAAAAAAGAAGATGAATTGGATGGCAAAAGGAGAAAGGAGGGTATGAACCTGGTGATCCCATTTGTTCCCTCGGCTGATAACTCCAACCTTTCTGCGGATGGGGACGACTCCTTCATCAGCGTGGACTCAGCCATGCCCAGCCCTTTCAGTGAGGTGAGGCTCCTTTTATTAGTGATGCCTTCATTGCAGCAGTGGGGGCCATGTCCTTACTGGGCAGCTTTTGCTTTTTTGGGGATTTGCCTGCCTTGTTAAGGGGGTTTCACAAGGAATCCATCAGGAGAAAAGCAAATGAAGGCAAATTGCCTTCTCCAGAGCCACAGGAGGGGGTCTGAATCCCAGGAGTGATGCCAGGGAGGAGAGGGAATGGCGGGGAGGCCTGGGAAGCACGTCCTCACTTAGCATGAGGGCCGAAGGCACTGAGAGAAGTGGTCCATGACCCTTCCGCCTCTAGATCTCCATCAGCAGCGAGCTGCACACCGGCTCCATTCCCCCTGACGAGAGCAGCAGTGACATGCTGGTCATTGTGGACGACCCCGCCTCCTCAGCCCCTCAGTCCCGAGCCACCAACTCTCCTGCTTCCATCACGGGCTCTGTCTCAGACACTGTGAACGGTGAGTGATGCAGCTGTCCCTACCACTTGGGCGAGGTCCTGGTTCCTTCTCGGATAATGGCATTTTCTACCTTCTTTAAAAAAGAGTGGAGTAGAGCAGAAAGCATTTGAAGTCTCATTGTTTTACTAGCCTATTCAAGTGAAAGGGAGAATGAGAAGGCTTAGGGAAAGCAAAATAAGAACTTCATAAAGATTTCGAACTTTTTGTTTTCTCGCCATTCCTGTCCTTCATATTTCACCGTTATTTTTGCTAGTTTTTAGTTATAGTTAGCTTTTCCGGGCCTTTCCTCACTTGTTCTCTGGGGCCCAGTGTTGCTGCTATTTCTTGAGTCCCTCTAGGTTTGCAACTTGGGAGTAAAAGTCGATTCCCCAAGGCAGGAGAATGTTGGAATGTGTAGGTGAATCACAAGTAGCACATCCCTGGAGTTCGTTTAGTAATGAACTAGTTTAAAGAAAAAATCAGGAGTAATGGCACCACTCTTTATGAGTGATGAGAATGAAAAGCAACTTGAGGTGTCAGACCATTGTAGCTACTCACAGTTCTTACTAATGCTGTGTGACTCTGTGGCTCAGCCATTAAATTGGGACATAGACCTCCCTAGGAGTCCTGAAACAAAACACCCCAAAAGCCATCTTCTGTGTCCAGGAGAAGATTCTCCTCACACATAAGATAAGAAGTTGACTTTTTTCCCCCTCTTGGCCAATTTGTTCCCACAGGGATTTCCATTCAGGAAATGCCAGCCGCAGGACGTGGTCATTCAGCCCGAAGCCGAGGCCGCCCTAAAGGTTCGGGAAGCACAGCCAAAGGAGCCGGGAAGGGCCGGAGCCGGAAGTCCACTGCAGGCAGTGCTGCCGCCATGGCGGGAGCCAAAGCAGGGGCTGCTGCAGCCTCCGCCGCTGCCTATGCTGCATACGGGTACAACGTGTCTAAAGGTGCGGGGCCCCAGGGGCTGCAGGTGCCATTCTGGCTGGGGCTAGTCTGGAGGGCTGCTGAGCATTCTGCCAGGTAGAGCAGGCACGACACCCCTGGGCCCAGAGCCCCTTCCCAGAGCCCATGTTGGAGTCTGCCTCAGCATCAAGTGGTCCTGACACTCCCTGTGCCCTTGTGACCTGGTTCAGTGCTGCCTTCAGAGTAGAAGTAACTGTGAAAACAAAAAGGTGAATTTCTTGACCATGTTGCTTTAAACATTTCTCTTGCTTTGAGAACTGACTTTTTCCCCCCAGACTCACATTTTAATAATTAATATTTCTGTAGTCCAGACTAGCATAGTTAACAGTTTCCCAGTAGCTCAGTTGGTAAAGAATCCACCTGCAATGCAGGAGACCCCGGTTCGATTCTTGGATTGGGAATATCTGCTGGAGAAGGGATAGGCTACCCCCTCCAGTATTCTTGGGCTTCCCTTTTGGCTCAGCTGGTAAAGAATCCCCTGCAGTGTGGGAGACATGGGTTGGGAAGATCCCCTGGAGAAGGGTAAGGCTTCCCATTCCAGTATTCTGGCCTGGAGAATTTCATGGAGTGTATAGTCCAGAGGGTCGCAAAGAGTCAGACACAACTGAGCAGCTTTCACTTTCAGTTTTGTGAGCCACCACCTTAGGATTAAACTCCTGCTGTAGGGACTTCCCTAGCGGTCCAGTGGTTAGGACACTGCTCTCACTGCTGAGGGCCTGGGTTCAGATCCCACTAAGAGCCCACAAGCTGCACTGTGCCAAAAACACACACACACACAACCCAGCACATATGTGCCTGGGAGTATAACACATGGACCCCATACCTGAATATATAATGAAATGAGACAAGGAAGTCATGCATGGAATGTGTTTAGCAGCAATACAAGGCAGTATGTTAGCATTGTGTGAGAGAAGAGGAAAGGCCTTAATTGTGGTTGTAGATCAGAAGGAGGAAGAACTGTGCACTTGATGACCAAGTTTCCAGACTCAGAAAGAAAGACAAGGTTGACGAAGGATTTATACTTGTGACGGAGGGTTTAATGACCTAGGCATATTGGAGGTCACCGAGCAGGTCAGTCGGACTATGCTGAAAAGGACCTGTGGGAGTCAGGGTTGGAAAGACCTGATGGGCAGAAGCTTATCAGACGTGTGACCATGGGCTCTCAGAGTGGTGAGAAAGGGCAGCAGTTGCCATTCAGGCACTGCTCTTCATTCAGAACACAGGCTTAAAATGTAGGGTGTTGCAGCAAGTAAGAGCATTATTGAATAGAAAGTTCTCAGTAAGTGTTCGTTTACCTCCCCTTTCTCCTTTGCTCAACAACTGTGAAGTATAATAGCCTAGCCCTGTGTTTCTTAACTTTTTGCCAGCTCATCACATCCTTGGAAAACAGCAGTCCTGGCAGCAGTTAAGGCTGCCGTGGCAGGGTTTCACCCCTACATGGGGCAAAACATGACACTCATCAGGCTTTCTTCTAGAGGCAACAGGGGGCAGAGTGTCACAAGAAACACTGACTGTGCTTGGTGACTGGGCATGAAAAGCAAGGGATTCGGACATTGCCTGCAGCTCCACTGTGGGTGAGAGTAGTCATGAGTCTGCCTACCGAGCACTTAGAATTCCTTTTTAGGAATGTTAGGAAGAGTTGCTGTACAGGAGATTTGAACCAGCTCCTTAAAAGCAGTAGTGCTCAGAGAGCAGGGAAGCTGTGTGCAACGCAAGAACTGCATGTGTAGGCATAGGATAGAGTGGGCAGCCTTGTGCCCTCTGGTCATATGGACTGGGGAATAGAGGACATCTTCTGAAATTAAGAAGGAAGCAGGAATGTATAAGAAAACAGCCTGTAAGTCACAGCTGTTCCTGTTCCAGCCTTGGCTTCCCAACAGGTAATGTGTGCTCTGTTCTTGAGTGCCTAGGTGACATCTTCTCCCTGTAGATGCAGTAATGTGGAGAGGGCTGGACAGGTATTGGTTTTCTCTTACAGGAAAAACAGTTGACAGGAAGAACAAGTGGTAAGGAGTTCCCCACAACCTCACCTCCAGACATGGCTCCAGGAACCAGGGTCAGGCTCTGAGGCAGCTCAGGTGGGACAGGTGCTTACATGCTTCTTGCCTCTCTTTCTCTCCCCGCAGGAATCTCCGCCAGCAGTCCTCTGCAGACGTCCCTCGTTCGGCCTGCTGGCCTTGCTGACTTTGGACCTTCAAGCGCCTCTTCTCCCTTGAGCTCCCCTTTGGGCAAAGGAAATAATGTTCCTGGGACTCCCAAGAGCCTCCACTTGACCAGCAGCCTAGCCCCAGACTCCCTGATCCGGAAACAGGGCAAAGGCACCAACCCCTCAGGAGGACGGTAACCACCTGGCCCTCCAGCTTCCTTCAACCACACCGGGGGCTCACGTCCTGGCCTGCAGGTGGTCTTTGGATAGCTTGCCCAGTGCAGCATCTTCCATCCCAAGCCATGGGGCAGCAAGGACCAGTTGCAACAAGGGAAAGACAGGCAGGTGGCTGGTGTGAGCACTTGGATCATCCATGTCTCGAGAGGAATGTTCTGGGGTTGCCTGTAGGAAAAAGGCCCAAGGACAGGGATCAGACCCACAGCCTCTCAAAGGACCTTATAGGCAAGTCTTAAACCTCACATTGGGGAAGGGCTGACAGAGACCTCGTCTCGATCCTCAGGCGCATAGTCTCCATCCCCATTCCACTCTTTGGCTCTGGCCATGTCCCTTGCAAAGGCTCTACAAGTGCTGTGAAGAGCCTTCCACGGTGGAGACTTCTCTTAGGGCTGTGATTTCCTGGGGGCTCGGAAGGGAGGAAATCATGTAGATGGCGTTCTCAGTCGTTGAGCAACCCAAGTCTCCAAACCCATTCGCCAGAGTGTTACGGCTGAGGAGAGCGGCAAATGCAGGACAAGGTGGTGACTGTGAGGATGACACAAGGCTAGAGGCAGCAGGCCTGGAAGCAGTTGTTTCCCAGCATTTCCTCCCCTGCCTGCATGGTTCATGTCAGAGAACCTTCAGGTCCCACCAGCAACAGTAGCCGCAGAACCCACCCCGGGACTCCCAGAAGCCAGTAAGAGACCAGGAGCCACCTCAATCAGCAGGACAGCCTCACTGCCCCTCTTGCAGGCTCCCCTTGCCCCTCCTGAATGCACAGTCTCCCCGCCCTTGCCCTTCAGCCCCCTGCTTGGCTGTATGCACTGTCTATATTGCACTGAGAAAGGAAGGGACAGTGGAGTGAGATGGAGAGGATGGAGCAAGGGCAGGCTCAGCACCCACCTCCCAGCCTGGCCCTGCCAGCCCGAGCTCGCTTCCCTTCAGGAGCGGCAGAGGGGTGGTGGTCACATGGGAGGTGTTTCTGCCTGCCCCCAGCCTGATGTCCCTGGTGGAGCAGGTGCTTCTGGGCGGGTCCGCCTCTAATTTGCACACCTGAAAATCGCGGAATTGAGTTTAGATAGATTGATTTTTAAAACTTTTTTTTTTTTTTTTTGAGTAGGGGTGGTGGTAGGGGAATCATTTAATTTAAATCATTAAGATTCCCCTGCCCAAACCCAGACTCCTGTGTACAGATGCTATTTAGAGGGAATCAGAAAAATGCCAAGCCTTTTTTCTCTTTGAATGTGCTGTCTATTTTTATAACTGAACCTGTACATATGTATAAAGAGAGACACATCTTTCTTTTACTAACTGGAGAAAAATCTTAAATAAAATGGAGTGAGATAATTTTATGTAAATTGAGGCGTCTGTGGTCTTTGCAGCTGCCTCTCCTTGGGGCAGTCGTAGGGCTCCTGGGGGAGAGTGGCAGGATGAAGAGGAAGCAGAACCCTGACATCATGATCGTTCTTGTTGTCATAGAGGTGGTCAGTGGGATGAGGAGTGCCCTGTAGGCGCTGATGGGCACAGGAGTGTGCCTCCAGCCATCAGAGGTGGCTTGACCAAGTGCCTGATAGGCCAGGGCCCTCGGGGTGTGGGCTCCTTATGACTCTAGACCTCGCCTCCAGGACTTCAATGTAGGCGGCTTGACCTGGTCCACCATTAGGCATTTACACAGTGGCAGTCTAAAAACTGACAGATTCTTTCTTCAAAAACCACAAGTGAGAGGTTGTTCTGGCAGTGTGTTGTACATAAAATCCCCAACTAACAGAACTTTATGGTCCCAGTTTCTAGAAATGTGATGTATATACAAATATGTGTATATAAACCCCAGAAACCTGCCCCGTTTGCAGTTCCAGTACCTACTATCAGTTACACTGGCAGAAATACTGAGGAACTGTGAAATGAACACAGTGTTCTCAGAGTTAGGTGTCATAAGAATTGTGAATGAAAACAGTGAAATGTGTTACTAGGGATTCCAGAGACATCCAGGCTTTGAAAACTTAGCTCTCTGATGAGTTGGGAAGAGTGAGCCTCCAGCCTGTGCTAGCAGTGTTTCTCTGACTGAGCTAAATAAACACTGATATACTCTTGCGTCACCATCGAGCAGGACTTGTGCTGTGTTGAGTGTGCTGGCCGTGTAGCCGCCTGAGCCTTGGCCTACCCCGCACACCCTTGATAGGGGCGGGCTGGCTCCTGAGCCTCTGCTGCTCCCTGGCCGCAAGGGTAAGCCTTTTCCTCCTTTTATTGATCTTAAGTAGCACTATCATATATGCTGGGTCTTGTTTTTGTTGCTGGTAAACTTGACCATGGCCTTGAACGGAGCAAACCAGTGTCAGTTTTCCAATTAGCCATACCCTATTGCCGTCACCATTGTGGCTTCCAGTCAACAAGCCCACTAGGATGGATCCTCTCCAGTTCTCATTACCTAGCCTGCCCCTCAGTAACAAGACTTCAAACTGCACCAAGGTCAATGGTGGTCACCTCTAGAGACCTGACAACTCAGATCCTCGCATAGCTTCGCCCAGGTGTGGATAGACTAGATAAAGTCTCCTCCTGAAAAGCATGTGAGCTCTGGACCAGAGCTCTCCACTCTTCTCTTTCTCCAGACACACTGCCATGCTCCCCTGTTAGGCATTTTCAATCCAGTCCTGAAGCAGCAACTAACATGTCATATTGAGGGATGCTCATGGCCTTGATGTTTCTCTCACCTGAGGGTTCATAAATGGAGTTTGAATCTTAAAAGTGGAGGCTTCAAACTCATTAACAACTTGAGTCCTGTCCCCAACTTACACACTTTCTGAAGACTTGTCCACCTCCCACATGAGAGCCCAACTCTCACCTATGAACCCAAAGAACCAGTCCCTAAACACAGAAGAGGGCTGGTGAGGGATCCTACCTGCTAGAAGCATTCCTCCAGAAGGCCTGGAACACAGGCCATCCTTTCCACCAGGTCTTCTCTCCACATGAGCCAGTTGTGGGGCCTTAGGTAAGTGGATTTTAAGATTGTGAGTCCTTATGAACAGCCCTAGAAATGTGGAGTCTGCACTGGGCTTTCTAGCAGAGTCTCCATGCAAGAGTCTTTGGAAACCCCCTGGACCTGGAGTTTTATTTTTTATTTTTTTTAATTTTATTTTATTATTTTTTTTTTCCATTTATTTTTATTAGTTGGAGGCTAATTACTTTACATCATTGCAGTGGGTTTTGACATACGACCTGGAGTTTTAGAGATCCTCAGATGTGCCTCAAGGGCTTTTGTGAGTGATGAGCGAAAAGGGATGTGTGCCCACCAAATTAAACAGCAGCTCTGCTTTTACTGCCAGGTTAAGATTTTGTGTGGCATTAAACTAAAGGGGATAAGAGGCTTGGCTTTTTTTTTTTTTTTTAAACCTCTGGAACATTTAATAAGTGATAACTATTTAAGTAATACTTACCAAACTTTAATATACATATGAATCACCTTGCATCCTCTTGAAGTGCATATTCAATTTCAGAAGGTCTAGGATGAGACCTGAAACTGAATCTCTAACATACCTCAGGTGATGGCTGCTTTGCCTTGGACCACACCTGAAATAACAAGGCCTTGGCCCCCTTCCAGCCCTGTCAGAATAAACTCTGATCTCTGCTTGTACACCCTACCCCAGCCAGGAAACCCTGTGCAGGAAATACAACTTATGTTTTATATTACTCAATCCACCTGAGAAAATGAAAAACTAGCATTTCCAGGAAAATAGGTCCCATACATGTTTTCTCACTTTTTTGCCTTTAAATCTATCAATTCATGCTTTTCTCCATGGCCTTTCTCTCCTGGGTAGACCTCTGTTAAACACGTTAGGTTTGAGGGAAGGTTCCTGATCTGCTGCTGCCCTTTCCTGTGTAGTCATCACCAAGCTGTAGCTTGTTTCATTGCTGGAAAGTCTGTGATCCCTGGGCCCACTGTTTTCAGCTGCATCCAGTCAGCTTTCTCAGCTAATTCCTAAGCCATTCTCAGGGGCATGGAGAAATTTGCCAGGTTTCTCCTGCTTCTCTGAGTCTGCCAGAGTGTGGTTAAGCTGTGCAGTTTGTGAGGCAGCCCTGGTCGGTGCTGGCTGCCCCAGCCAGCCACCTTCATGGTGCTTTCAGACTACTTGGCTGTGGAGAGCAGGCTCTGTACTAGAGAACATAGGGCTTCTCATTGTCTTAAAACCGTGCACCCCGGTGCTTGCTGCATGGTAGCAAATGGTGCTGCTAAGAGAGGCATCTGTCTGGAGGGGAGGTCCCTGCATGGAAGTTCCTAAAAACTCTAGGCTGGCAGGAGCTTGAGCTATGTCAGCCCTCAAAAAAATAACTCCTGTCATCCTAGAAGTGTCCAGGGCAAACAGTGCCATGGCTGGATTACGGAGATGCCAGTCCCAGGGGACAGTCCCAGGGCTGGGTGTAGGGGAAGGTAGAAGGAAAGGAAAAGAGGAGGGATGACATGCCTGAGACCCACTTCCTGGGTACTTGTGGAAGCGGGGTGCCTCCCTTATCACCAGGCCCCTGAACTCTTCCTGTGCTCCTGTTTCATCCTAGCTTCAGGTCCTGGAATCTGTCACTGCCTATTCTCATTCCAGTTTCCCTCCTTTAGCACCAGCTGCAGGGGGTGTCCTCTCAGTTCTCTCCTGTTGTGTGCACGCGTGCTAAATCACTTCAGTTATGTCCAACTCTTTGTGACCCCATGGACTGTAGCCCACCAGGCTCCTCTGTCCTTGGGATTTCTCAGGCAAGGATACTGGAGTGGGTTGCCTTGCTGCCAAAAATTAGCATCTTGCTTCCTTTTATAGTAAAGGTTTTCTTGTTCATCAAAACAAAGACAGCAGGTAAAAGCAGAACCAGACATTGGGAATTACAAAGCTCAGGATACATTTCACGGTTCTGAGTACCTGGTCTTCAGTTCTTGGCGCCTTGGCTGAGAGAAACAGATTCCTGAACATGAGACTCTCTTAGAGAGAAAAGAGGGTCTCCCCAAAGGCTCGGAACAGGCTCTAGGGAGCACCCCTGCAGGGCTCATGCCTCCCTGCTCTCCTGCCCCTTGGGATTTTGAGGTCCTGGGACCCAAGGGCCAAGAATGAATGCCTGGGCCAAGGATGAGGTGACCTCTCTGGGTCTAGTCTGGACTGGAAGTTAGAGTGCAGAGCCTCTGAAGGGAAAAGGAAGCAGGGGCATAGAGGGTCACAGCTGCAGGAGATGGTGGGGAACTTTCTAAGCCCCCCTCCCCACCCCACCCCCTACTGCCGTCCCAGCTGTTGGTTCTGAGAACCGTGCTCTGGGAGAACGCCCAGGGACACTCAACATCTCACACCCTGCACCAGCACCCCACCACACTAAACCCCACCCTGGATCAGGCTTATCTGTGGGCTGTTCCTTCACATTTCCCAGGTGAGGGGGCCTAGAAGACACCAGGCAGCTTCATGCCTTCCAACCATGAAGTCACTTGCCTGGGACAGTCTGAGGAGGGCAGTGGAGGGTGTGAGGGACCGAGGGGTGATCCAATGGGTTGGAAGGGCCAAGCGGTTTCAGAGGTCTCAGTTTGTCCTCAGCCCGCGGATGTGGAAAGGGCAGCAGGAACCCTGTCATGCAGAATCTGAATAGCTTGATCTTTCAGAGAGCCGATGTGTAACCCTCTAAAGCACCAGAATTTATCTTGGTTAGGTCTTCCCAGGTGGCTCAGTGGTAAAGAATCTGCCTGCAATGTAGGAGCCACAGGGAGGCTACGGTTCAATCCCTGGGTTGGAAAGATCCTCTGGAGGAGGGCATGGCAACCCACTCCAGTATTCTTGCCTGGAGAATCCCACAGAGGAGTCTGGTGGGCTACAGTCCATGGGGTCACAAAAGGTCAGACATAACTGGAGCAACTTAGCATGCATGCACAGGACTCTTTTTAAGAGATTTTATGAATACCCCAGCTTAACCCTTCTGAACATATCTTAACCCTTCCTGAGGACCTGGGTCACAGAAGCATCTGGTGCCCTTTGCTGTGACTGCCGTGTGCCCAACACTAAACCACGCTGGCAGCTACACCAGTATGCTGTTCAAGTCTGCTTTGAACAGGACCTGTGCCCCTTAAGTGTCTTTGTGCCGATATCTAACTTACCTCCCTTTTCAGAGTTCCTTTTCCAAACTGGAGGCTAGAAGCCAGAACTAGGAGGCTAGAAGCTTGAACCTAGCTCAGAACTTCTGAACCAGGGAAAAGTAAGTACCCTGAAGGAGGAACTGCCCAGTTTCCTGGGATTAAAGACATTGAGCTTCAGTGCATGCCTGTGGCTTCTGCCGGGCTCTAGTACATGAGTTCTGGATAAACCCAGTATTCTAGGTTGGCTGTTCTGGTTTGAATCAGTTTATTAATGTTGCGGATTTTTTTCTCTCTCTTTCAAAAAACCAAAAAAAAAAAAAAGTTGATTAACTTAAACACCTAGGAACAGCTCTGCCAAGGAGGAGCTGGAGGTAATGCAAACAAATGTAGTCTATCATTAGAGTTCAGCCAGAGCAAGAAAAATTAATTGGGTGATCTCAGAGGCCAGTGTAATTGAACCTGATCTTCTGATCTCCATTCCTCCATGCTTCACCTTTATGGGAAAAGTCTGGTCATCCCTAGGGACTGTTCAAATACAGCTCTCCATGGGTTGGGCCATAAATTCTCTGAGCAAATAATGTCATCGTTTATATTGGTTAGGGTAGCATACCATCTATAAGAAAGATCTAGAAATGCAATTCCTAAATAAGATGTAAATCCATATCAGTTCAGTTCAGTTCACTCATCAGTCACCTATCTGACTCTGCAACCCCATGGACTGCAGCACGCCAGGCTTTCCTGTCCATCACCAAGTCCCAGAGCTTGCTCAAATTCATGTCCACTGAGTCAGTGATGGCAACTATCTCATCCTCTGTCATCCCCCTCTCATCCTGCCTTCAGTCTTTTCCAGCATCAGGTTCTTTGCATCAGGTGGGCCAAAGTATTGGAGCTTCAGCTTCAGCATCAGTCCTTCCAATGAATATTCAGGACTGATTTCCTTTAGGATTGACTTGTTTGATCTTGAATCCACAAGATGGCAGAGTAGAAGGACATGCGGTCATCTTCTGTGAGAACTCCAAAATTGCAACTAACCGCTCAACAACCATCAACAGGAGAATGTTGGATCCCACCAAAAAAAGATACCCCACTTCCAAGGGCAAAGGAGAAGCCCTAACAAGATGGTAGGAGGGATGTAACTGCATTTAGAATCAAACCCCATACCCGCCAGAGATGCTTGGAGGGCTCAAACAAAATCTTGTGTGTACCAGGACCCAGAGACCCCACAAGAGACTGAGCCAGACCTGCCTGTGAGTGTTTGAGTCTCTCCTGCGGAGGCACCAGTCAGCAGTGACCTGCGGTGGGGGTGAGGGCTCTGGCTCTAGCAGAGAGGGAGTTATGGCATGTGAACCCCACCATAGAGTCACTTAGCAGACAACCCACAAACTGGAGAACAATTATACCAAAGAAGTTCTTGCACTGTAACAAAAGTTCTAGGACCCACAACAGACTTCCCAACCTGGGGATTCAGCAAAGGGACTGAGAACCCCCAGGGAATTTTGACTTTGAAGGCCAGTGGGGTTTGATGACAAAACTTCCACAGGACTGGGGAAAGAGACTCGTGGAAACCTTGTGCAGACCAGGACCCAGGAAAAAGGAGCAGTGACCACACAAGAGACTGAGCCAGACTTGCCTGTGAGTGTCTAGGAGTCTCCGGCGGAGGCACAGGTCGACAGTGGTCTGCCAGGGGGTCAGAGACACTGAATACAACAGTCCTGGCATAAGTCCTTTTGAAGGAGGTCACCATTACTGCCATTACTCCTACCATTTTGTCTCAGGCCAAACTACATGGAAGGACCACAGCCCCACCTATCAGCAGAAAATTGGATTAAAGATTTACTGAGCATGGCTCTGCCCATTAGAGCAAGACCCAGATTCCCCCACTGTCAGTCTCTCCCACCAGGAAGCTTCCACAAGCCTCTTATCCTTGTCCATCAGAGGGTAGACTGAGTGGAAACTACAATTGCAGAAAATTAACCAATTGGATCACAGCCTTGTCTAACTCAGTCAAACTATGAGCCATGCCGTGTAGGACCACTCAAGATGGATGGGTCATGGTGGAGAGTT